ACAGCACCAGTTAGAATAAATCATCTTGCCCCAGTCAGTTTACCAGCAGCAAAGACACAGGGGGCTTTGGGGTTGCAGCTCCCAAGGACATCCCCAGCCCAGAAATGTTGCCAGTGATGCAGGTTCTCAGACATCTTGACAGTATTTTCTGTGTTTCTATAAGTATCAAATTTTGAGTTCATAACAGAGCAAAAACTGATATTTACATTCTTCCAGATGTCAGTACTTTTTGGTCCTTGTTCTTCAAATAGCTTGTATTCTAGTTGCCTTTGGGCTTGGTTTATCTAGCTAGTGCAGTGGAAATATTCATCTCACTTGGGCTGGTTCAAACACTGAAACAAACCCAGCCGGTGGGAACTCGGGGAGTGAGACCTGTGCTCCCCCTGTCACCTGGATGGGATTGGGAGGAAGGCTGGCATTCCCCCAGGGCTCCCCCACAGAATGAGCACTTCAGAAATGTCTTTCTCTTAATTAGAAACACTGAAGGCCAAGGTCCCAAGTTTCAGTGTATGCTTTCTGGGGGTTTCAAAGCACCCTGTGGCTGTGAGTACCCAGAGCTGTATGAGCAGTTTGGAAATCCAGCTTGGTGGTTCAGCAAATTGGGCTGATTTCCCCACATTTTGGGGAGTGAAGAGTTGCTGGCCCAAGGTGAAACAACCCCATTTCCTGACTTTAATTAATATTTTCTGTTTAATAATTTTCTTTCAAATGCAAGGTATATTTTGATATGCTTTTCATTTACTCTGAATATTCAGGTAGTTTTATTTAATGATTGAAAGCCATTTAAAATTCTTTTTTCCAACCGTTTTTTCATGAAACTTCATGTTCCTTCAAAAATCAAATGTAATTTGTAGACATGTGGGATGCCCGTGGGAACATAAAATAACAATCTGACAAAATAAACACTAAGTTAAATAGCTTCTTAAGTAAAAGAAGTACGGAGTGGTATACTGTTTAGCAGAAAGGGATGTCATTCAACACCTAGGCTATATTTGGCTGCAGATCAAGATATGTTGGTACCTTTCAGCTGAATGAGATTTTAGGAAAACAATTTTGAAAAGGCAGAAGAAGGGTTGTTTGGATGGCACATCACATCTTTACTGGATTTCAAGCCATGATGTTCAGGAGCTGTTCAGACCTTGCCTTGGGCCAGGCGCCTCTAGAACAGAGGCTGCCTGCTGAAGCTGAAGCTGCCGGGGCGCTTTTGTGTGAGGTTTGCCGAGCAGAGGTGGAATAAGATGAGCTAAGTCTGAGGCTGTGCCATAAATACCAAGCCATTGCTTGTTTAGAATAGCTGCAAAGCAACCACAAGTATATCTTCAAGATGTCTCCAGTGCTGTCTCCTGGAGGTAGGGATGTGTTGATCCGGACTGCTCTGACTGTATGAACACCCAGGAGGACTGTCTGAGCACCGCTGTGCACCAGACACATCTGAACCCACAGAGATGCTACATTGCACCGGTCCCCCCTGTGTAGAGGCTTTGGGAGCTGCTTCAGCTAATCAGGGCTGTGTACAGCCCTTCGGTTCAGCTCTTTGTGAGCTGTAACTCTCTGAAGGTGAGCTCATGCCATGCTGTTAGCCCTGAAGGTGCTAGAGGGAACACTTACTGGGAGTTTCTTCATTGTGTCAGTCTCTCTATCTTCTTTCTGATCCTGAGTATCCTCTTTTCTTACCCCTTTTCCATCACCTCCTCTCCCTTCACCTTCCACCATTTATCCGCATCTCCTGTTGCCCCCTGCTCCCCGGGTTGGGCTGCATGAGCAGTCCATGGCTGAGGTTGGGATAACACAACCTTCTTCCCCCTGCAGCAGTAACGCTGGCTAGTCCCAGCCTGGGTGCATGTTGCATATGAGAGTGATGCTGAGTGCTCAGGACCGGTCTGTGAGATGTGGCTGGTCCCATCGCTCACATGCTGTTGCTTCTGCTGCACAGCTGAAGAAGTGCATGAGTGTATCTTGCTTGACACAGTATCGGATTTGGCTTAACTTGAGACGTGTGCACCAGATTTGCCTTCTCTGGAAAGGGAGGCTTTCAGCCCTGCAGAGACGGACTGGGGGATGACCTCCTGTACCTGATCTACTACTCCTTTTCTGTGCTCCTTCCAGTTCTGCTGATTCCAGCTCCGTGCCACAAAGTCATTCCTCGGGCAGCAACCACCCACCTGACCCATCCCCAGCACCCACCACAGACAGGCAGGCTCATCCCTGCACCTCAGGGCACACATCCTGCCCAGAGGTTTACCCCACAGCACAGGGGCTGTGCAGGGGGTGAGGGACAGCACTGCAGCCCAGGCTGGGGGCAGACGGCCTGCAGGATTCTGCCTGCAGAGCAGCTTTGCCAGGGCACACGTGTCCTGCCTGCAGCACCGTGGCACCCCACCACATACCCAACAGGATGGCCATCTACGGGAAAGGGTCAAAGGAAAGGGTGCTGAGAGCAGCCCAGTGGAGACGGACTGGGGGATACTGGTGGGTGACAGGTGGGACAGGAGCCAGCAATGTGCACTCGCAGCCCAGAAAGCCAAGCACCTCCTGGGCTGCATCACCAGCAGCGTGGCCAGCAGGCCGAGGGAGGGGATGCTCCCCCTCTGCTCCGCTCTCCTCAGACCCCCTGGAGCACTGCGGCCAGCTCTGGGGTCCCCCGCACAAGACAGACAGGGACCTGGCAGAGCGGGTCCAGAGGAGGCCACCAAAATGGCCCGAGGGCTGCAACACCTCTGCTGTGGAGAAAGGCTGAGAGAGTTGGGCTTGGGCAGCCTGGAGGGGAGTCGGCTCCAGGGAGACCTTGCCGCGGCCACTCAGTACTTAAAGGGGGTTTATAGGAAAGAGGGGGGGAGATTTTTGACCGGGGCCTGCAGTGACAGGACAAGGGGCAGCGGCTTTGAACTCAACAAGGGTGGGGTCAGGCTGGAAATAAGGAAGAAATGTTGTATGATGAGAGTGGTGAGACAGTGGCCCAGGGTGCCCAGAGCAGCTGTGGCTGCCCCCTCCCTGGAAGGGTTCAAGGCCAGGTTGGAGGGGCTGGGAGCACTCTGGGCTGGGGGAAGGGGTCCTTGGCCATGGTTGGGGAGTGGGACTGGGTGACCTTTGAAGGTCCCTTCCAACCCAAACCGTTCTGTGAGTCCATGATTCTGTGATAAGAGTACTCCTAAAGCCCTGAGAAGCTGCTACTTTGCAGCAAGAGAACAACCTGACCCCTGTCTGTACCCCGTGTGAGCTCATCTGCACGCTCACGTGTGTAAGGAGCCACATAATGCCAACGCCCTTTTGGGTTGATCACCATCCCCATCTTCCCCAGCTGTGGGACAGGCCCACAGCCCATTTCCAGCCGCCGTTACATGTTTTAGGATGACAGAGTATCACTCCTACCAAGGGCAATCCGCAACACCTACTTGCCAGCCCTTCCCACCTGGTTCAGGGGAGGGAATGGGAGCATGCTGTGGGGAATGGCTGCTGCTGACAGCCATGGAGGACGAGGAGCTCAGTGATGTGAGGACAGCCAGCACTGGCAGAGCTACTGCTCCAGCTTCGTTTGGCAGGCATAGCTGTGTCCCATGTCCTGCTGCTGGTGGTTCCTCATGTTGTGCAAGTGCCATCGGTCAGAGTGAAGCTCACAGCTGCAGGATGGGTTTTTCTCTGCCTTTATAAACAGTTCAGCCACTCCCAAGAACAAGATGAAGGAGATGCATTCCTATTTTAATTGCAAGTGAATCTACCTCCAATCAAAGCCTTGCATAGCCCCAAAGAGCAGTCCGAAGGCTTTTACATTCTGGCAAACTGATGTAGTGGAAGATGTCCCTGCCCATCGCACAGTGGGGTTGGACTGGATGATCTCTGAAGATACCTTCCAACCTAAACTGTTCTGTGAGTCCATGATACTGTGATGCTCAAATTCTGGCATACTGTGGAAAGGACTAATTTGAGAAATATAAGTGTTTGGATGAGGGTTGCACATAATGCTCTGTTCTGACCTTCCTGGAACATCTTCAGGGCTGTTTGCTGTGCTCAGCCTTGCAGCTGGATCAGACAACAAGTCAGGCCCCAGGGTGAGTGCTCACTCAGAGGTGAGCTTCTGCCCCCAGGGCAACAACCAGCACTGGATGTGGGATGTCAGTGTGTTCAGCAGGACCGTGGTCAGGTGTAATTCCAAGATTTTCTGGTGCATTTCCTGGAGAACAGAAAGCAGCCTGGCAAGATGAGGGTGCTCTTTGTGCAGGGACTGACAGCTCTTCTGCACTGTCCACCCTGGGCTGGCAGCTCTTCAGGCAGCCGCTCAGTTTGGGGCAGGCAGTCATCCCCGGCGTCCTCATGGGGCTGGTGCTCGGGGAAGCCCTCTGGTATGGGGAGGAAAAGTGGGACTGTGCTTCTGGAGTGAGCACAATGACCCTGGACATCCTCTGTCCCCCTGGTCCAGCCTGTGTGGTCCAGCCTGTGTGCTCCAGCCCCCAGGATCCTCCTGCCAGCTGTGCCCCAGCCGGGTGGGAGGATGGCCTGAGTGGGGTGCAGGGACCCTCTGGGGCCTCCCTGCCCACCTCCAGCACCACAAGGTGACCACTGTGAGTCCATCCTGCGCCTGTGCTGGTTCTGGCACATCCCAGCAGTGTGGCAGAGGCAGGCAGGGCTGACCCAGGACACCGGTATGGCCTTGGCTCTGGGCTGCTTGGGCACAAGCTGTGGTGTGGTGCACGGAGGGTGCTGCCAGCCATGCCCCATGGCTCTGCCACTACTCCGGAGTGTCCTCTGGGGCTGAAGGCTATGCTTGGGTTGGGCTTGGGTGAGGGGTGCGTCGGTCCACTTGCTGGGGCCATGTCACCTACTGCCACCTGCCCCCCTTGCGCTTCTTCATGCTCCTCAGAGTCATTTTTGGGCTCGAAATGCTTTTTGGACTGCTAGAGGTGTAGGGGGTGCTCAGGGCTGAGCCTTCCCCTGGCTCGGGGGTGGTAGGTCTCTTCCTCCCACAGGATCCTTACCCCTGCTCTCCGTTCTTCTCTCCTCCACAGCACTCGACACTGTCGCGCAAGTTTGTGGAGGTGATGTCCGAGTACAACGCAACGCAGACCGACTATCGGGAGCGCTGCAAGGGCAGGATTCAGAGGCAGCTGGAAATCAGTGAGTAAACCCAGCAGGGGAATGCAGCTCTGGGGGGCCACATCCTGCACCGGCTCTCGCCGGATCACAGATGCTCGTGCAGCTATGCAGACTTCCCCCATGAAAACCTGGACAGTGCACGGGGGACTGTGCGTGCACCCATGGGAGCAACTGGGACACAGCTCCTGCTGGGAGATAGACATGTGATGGTACCTTGCGTTTTGGTGTCAAACCACATCCAGCAAAGCACAAATCTCCCCTCAGATTTTCCTAAATGCTGCATAGAGAGTACAGAGAGCACAGGGAGAGAAATTTCTTCCATGTTTGAATTTTTAATTCAAAGAAGCTAGTGGGAATTCCTGACTCACATGTGTTGCCTTGCCTTTCCTCTGGGTGCTTTTCGTCATGGGTGAACTGAACTAAATATAAAACTAGAGAAATGAGCTCTTGAGATGGAGGCATTCACTGCTCCCAGTGGTTTCCCCTGCCGCAGGAGGAGCATGAACCTCGGTGTCAGAGAGGCATCATGGTTTTTTTGTGCTCAAAATGAAGGTCTGAAGCCTAGTCCAGGTTTTTTTTTCTCACGAACAAATGGGTGGTTTTATTCCCTTTCACAGCTCAGTGTGAATAATAAGGTAGGAGATCTTTGAGGCAGAACAGTGTCCTTGATGGTCACCTGTGGGAATGCTCTTCATGAGCTACAGATGCCTGGCAATCTGGGTGCTAGTGGGTTATGGTAGTTTCTGTGGAGGGCAAGGAGGAGACTTGGCTGTGCAAGCCTTTCCTCTGTTAAGATTAGTCTTTATGATGTATAATAATAATAGAAATGTTTCACACTGGCTGAATGACTGGTTGACTGACATGAGGCTCAACAAGAGCTTGACATATAATGTAAAGCAGGATGAGTGTGTCACTGCTTCAGCTGACTGACTTATTCATCAGCTAATGTCATTCTGTAGGTGATACCCAGCCACAAGGGTGGTTTGTAATGGAAATAGGAATTTAAGGTATCCCTATGCCTCCCTTCTAAGAGAGGAGAAGCTTGGAAAAAACTTAGTCCGGTTCTTAATTGTCCACAGACCTGAAACCTTCCTCTTGTTTTTCTATTCCCGAATTTCAGAAGGGCTCTGCCACTCTGTTTAGGTTATGGACATACTTGTCTTTGCTCTGTCCATCCTGCCAGGCTGTCGGCGTGACAGCATTGATGGGGCACAAGGAAAAGGCTGCTCAGGACTCCCCATGGTGCAGTGGCTGGGTGCAGAGGAGGTGCCCTAGTTAGTGATGGTGAGGGATGCTTTCCCTTTGGGGTGGAGCTGTGAAGCAGCTGTAGAGGCAGGATGGAGTCTGTGCTGGGAAAGTACACAGTCTTGTGCACAGTCTTTTGCAAAAGCTGTGTTCCTTGTCAGGACAGTGGAAAATCTCTTCTGGCAAAAAGGCTCATCAAAAGCAACAAGCTTATTGAGGTTTTATCAGGAGTGCTTCCTGGGCAGAGGGCTCTGTGTGACCTGGGGTGTCCCAGCCAGCACCTTCAGTCCCTGCTGCTTCAGGTGCTCTTGAACAGGCTCTTTTGAACGGAGCTCAGCTGGGACGTGGTGACTGCACAAAGTGCTACAAAATCCTCAGGTCTCACTTTCAGCTGATGAATACAAAGATAGAAAGTGCGGGGAGCTCTGACAGCAAAGCCAGTAAATCACTTGGGTTCTGAAAGTATGAGAGCAGGGACTTGTCAACTGCTCTGGGGAGGCTCCCCAGCATCCAGCAAGCTTCTCTGTCCTAACCGTGTCTGCTTCTTGCTCTGGAAGAAGGACAGTTGCAGAAGAAAGGGTGATGCAGAGTCACTGCCCCAGGCCATGCCCACCCCCTGGGGCTCCCCACAGCCCTCTCAGGATCTGCCGCTTCTCCTTGTGTAGGCACTGTCATCTCTGTGTGTGCCAGGGGGTTGTGCCTCTGTGACCATCACCTTTGCCTGTCCAGCACACGCTGAGCCTGTGAGTCTGCCTGATATGATGAAGTAGATGTCCTCTCCTCTCCCACTGATTCTGCCCCAGCCTTAACTGGTACCCTTACACCCCCCCTTACTCACTTGCTCTCCTCCCAGACACACCCGAGATTGCAGATGCCATAGAGGGAGCGCAGGATGCACCATATCCTGGGGTTGGTGATGGCAGGGCAGATGCTTGGTGGCTGTCCTCTGGCTGGACTGTGCCTCCCTCAGCAGTGTTCCTGCATCTACTTCTGGAGCTGTGCTCCCCAGGCACAAGCCGCTGTGCTGCCTGTGGTGGGAGGTGTTGTCACTCCTTCATTTTTTTTCCTCTCTGTTTTGTCCATTATGAGAAATGATAGCTTAAATCTAATTAGGTTTTGCTCCCAGAGAAATTGGATTTGAAGCTTGGAGGAGCTTTCTGTGGTGGGTGTGCAGCTTTGAAGCCATGGAGGTGCTGCACAGATGCTGCTTGTTTTTAAGAACAGTTTTGTTATGTGTGAGACCGAGGAGCCAAAAATAAAGCATCTGCCATCTCCAAAGACACTGCGAGAATTAATCAGCCCCTGCCCCACTGTGCGAGACCATATTAATTGATTTAAAGAAAGGCAAGCTGTGGATGCATCCCAAGCTGCCCTTGAGCCAGAAGAGTCTGGGGACTGCTCCAGCCCCAGCGGCTCCTCCGGGCAGCCCCAAGTGGTTCTGGAGCCCCCAGTGCTGAGACAGGCTTATTTAGGATTCCTGTGACACGTTCATCTCATTAATGACCACGCGATTTAGCTGAGCTAAAAACGTCATGTTGGGTGAAAATACCTGCACAGCACAGGAAGTTGGCCCCTGCAGCCCCTCCCCAGCTGAGCAGAAGGCGTCCTGAGGAACAAAGAGGTGGGTGGCAGTTTGTGATGTGCTGGGCAGGTTTTTAGAGCTGAAATCTGCTCATCCCAACAGCACCACAGGCAGTGATAGACCTGTCTGAGCTGGGGGACAGCCAAGTGGGTTGGATTACTTGTACCCATTACCTCTACACACACAGGCAGACAGGTTGGCATTATCTACCTCTCCATGATTTGTATGGATTTGTATCTAATGAGAGCTTGAAATCCAGATAGAGACAGAGGATCCCAGCCTTGGGAAGGTGCTTTGTCCTTGGTGTTTCCAGCCTGAGCCCTAGCTGTTGCTCTGTGGGTACTCATGCAGCCCTGCCACCAGGAGGAGGGATGCTGCAAGCTGAAGGAGCACAACTGAACTGTTACAGTTAATTCAGCCATGGCATGATTGACTTCTGCAGCCCTGAGGTGCCTGAAGTCTTCCCTTTTTATAGAGCTTCTGGCATGCAGAATTGGGCAAACTGGTGTTTGGCATCACGTGGGTGATGGGTGTAAGCTGTAGCACCGGAGGCTTCCCTGGGAGCTTCCCCAGGGTCCTGCACACCCTGGTGACACTTATTCCTGTCCCCTGGGCGCTGGTCACTGGGGACTATCACTCCATCCAGCTGGGCATCACAGGGCCAAGGACTGTGCAGTGGCCCTGAAGTGGAAAGTCTCATCAGTGGCTTCATGTCTCTGCCTGTCCCAGAGATTCTGATGGCCCTGCTGAACCATGACCTGTTCATGGTCTCTTGCTGCTCTCTCCTTGCCAGTTCAGGGCTGAGTTTGCTTCTCCCCCTCTGCTGCAGCTCCCAGCAATGCTCTGTGATGCTTTGCTCATTGGCAGAGATTCTTCTCCCCATGAAACTTTCATTTCTAGCGATGCCAAGTAAGAGGCAGATGTACTTTGGATCTCGCTGGGGAGGCAAAGGGTCAATTCTTGTGATTTTCCAGTGTTTTTCCAATTTTCAGGGCAGGAGTTTCCCCCCAGGCTCTTGTCCCTTTGTGGGCACCTTGTATTCACTCCTTTCATTCCCATTTGTGGCTGTGCAGTAGCTCTGTGCTGGTGTGGGCAGCAGATCAACCAAGTATCTAGCCCACTTTCATCTGGTTTTATTGCTGTTGAGGAGCTAATGACAGCCTTTCCAAACCAGGAAACCTAGTCAGAAGGTGGTAGACTCCCTGGGATGTCCTCTGGGGTCCTGCAGGTTAGTTATATGGCTTTGGCAAGCGTTGTGCTAGATGGTGTGGGTGAGAGGCAGCCTCCAGGCTTCATGCTTTGGCTCAGCATTAAAGCAAGCTCTTCCTGACCACCTATGGCATTTGGCCAAGCCTGCACTGGCTGGCTGGTTGTTAATCCATGTGATGTCTTTGCTCTCATCCTTCGCCTCACTGCAGTTTTTACCAGCCCCGTGCTCTGTAATAGGGGAACAAAGCAGCAAGAAGGTGGTGAGAGCTGGGGTGAGAATGTGTATCCTGCATGCCATCCCACCTCTGACTGCAAGAGATGTGGCATCTCCTGGAGCTGATCCTACTGCTTGCCCTTGGGGCTGTCTCCAGGGCTTGAATTGGGCAGAGCAAGTAGCCCTCGATGCACCGCACCTGAAACACTCCCTGTCACTGTGCCAGGGGCTGCTTGGAGTTGAGCACCGTCAACAGGAGGGTTTGTAAACTTTACTTTTCAATCCCTTGTTCTCTCTTCCTGGATCCAGGGCAGTTTCAACTGAGAGTGAGGAGCCAACAGGCAGGAAGGGCTGGCAAGTAGGTATCGTGGGTCATTCTTGGTGGGAGTGATACTCTGTCATTCTAAAACATGTAATGGTGGCTGGAAATGGGCTGTGGACCCATCCTGCAGCTGGGGAAGGCGGGGAGGGTGATCAACCTAAGGGGACATTGGCATTATGCAACTTCTTAGACCCGTGAGCGTGCAGATAGCAGAGCTCAGCCCTCACCTGCAGCTGTGAGCTCACACGGGGTACAGACAGGGGTCAGGTTGTTCTCTTGAAGCAAAGCAGTAGCTTCTCAGGCCTTTAAGACCTATTAGAGGCACTGACTGGTCCTAGTTGTCTCGACCAGCCTCACATGGGTCTTCTACCTCTGACCATGTGTCCAGGAGCTGTGTAAGATGAGACTTGGACCACGCAGCCCATATCTGAGCTGTGCTGCAGTTACCTGTCTTCAGCCCTAACTCTGGACTTGTTAGCAGAGTGGGCTCAAGTCTGTGTTCAAGATAGCTTGTCTCCAGCCCAGTTCCCTGAGATTTTGGATCTTTGTTGTAGTCATGTCATAGGATCACGGACTCACAGAGTGGTTTGGATTAGAAGGGACCTTCAAAGATCATTCAGTCCAAACCCCCTGCCCCGGGCAGGGCCCCCTTCCCCCAGCCCAGGGTGCTCCCAGCCCTGTCCAACCTGTCCTTGAACCCTTCCAGGGAGGGGGCAGCCACAGCTGCTCTGGGCAACCTGTTCCAGTTTCCCCAGTCCTTTTTTAGACATGTCTCCTGAAAGGACCCTAGCCTTACACTGTAGCTTTGTCTCCAGTCCTGTCTTCAGCCCTATCTCCTGTTGCTCCTGATGGAACTCTTGGGAGATACCCCAGACCTGATTCCACAGCTTGTGTTGTCTGGCCCTGCTGCTGAACACCATTCTCAGCACCCTTCTCACGTGCTGTGGGATGGGTGCCAGCTTGGTAAGGGCCCTGTGTGTGCTACGGTCACACTGGATCCTGGGTCAGCCCCCCCTACCCCAGAGCATCCCCACTCCTGCTCTGTGCAGAGACAGCTTCTGCTGTGGGGCAGGGGTCCCTGTCGTCTGCCTCCGGCTGCTTCTCTTAAGGGCTGCAGACCAAGCACAGAGGAACAGGTTGCAGCTCCTCTCCCTCTCTGGTTCTTGATGCTACTCTCTCACACGTGGATCTCTCTGCTGCCTTGGGCAAGTCCCTTTTCTTCCTTTTTATAAGCTTTGCTGTACTTTTAAAAGATGTTCTTAAGGTCTGCTCTGCTTATTATTTGGTCTCCTTGCAGTACACAGCTGGATTTGAAGATGTACTCCATCTGCAGAGGAGAAGTGATGAGCTGTGTGTTGGGTTCCCGCTGAATCACTTGGCTGAGTCCCTCCTTCCAGCCCCTGGTACTGCAGGAGGGGAGCAGGCTCCATTTGAGGCTCCTCATGTCTGTTTAAGGCAACTTGCTTGTCCCCCAAGAGTTACAGCAGTAGAAGCTGCTGCTGGGAGAGCCCAAGTCTGGGAGACTTGGTGGCACTGCCCTGGTGCTCTCCCTGCTTTGTTCAGGCTGCCATTCTCTGCATTTCTTTGCTCTTCCTGTCGAGTGTGTGATCTCAGGGAAGTCTGGATGCTCCAGTTCCCACACAGCACCACAGGACTAGTGGCCCAGGAGCCATCTCATTAACTTGTAAGCTCGGTGTCCAGACACAGCAGAACCAAGCTCATCTCATTTTGCTCTCTTCCCATGCTCTCTTCCCAGGACTGCCTGTCCTAAGCTCCTGCCAGACAGCCCTGGGTGTGCTAGGAACAGTGCCGGCTCCTGTAGGGTCTGTGTCCTGGATCCCTGCTGCAAGAGCCAGCTGGGCTGTGCTCTCAGTGTCACTGAGCTGTTCCTATCAGTTATTAAGATAAAAACACCATTAGCTTTTTAAATTTTAAGATACTAGTCACATAAATAATGGAGGAATTCCTTCCTGACTGCTGGCAATTAGCCTGCAGAGAAAGTATTTCATTTCAAGAAAACCAATAAAAGAAAAATTTTGTTTTAAAGAATTTCCATTTTTTCCTCCTGGCCTCTGTTTTTTTCTTTTGTTCTTTTTTTATTTTCTATTTCTTCTCCAACTGCAACTGTTTTTCAGACACCCCAGCAAATGTCTCTTTCTCCTGTGCCACCTGTCCGTCACAGTTCCGTGTTGCTTTCCGAAGGCCCGTGAGCTCCACTCTCAGCTCTGGCTCTCTGCTGCAAGGGCCCATCTCTGCTGGTTGCTGTGGATGATTCGTTGCAGGTGCTGGGGGAGCTGCTGTGCTGGATCCAGTACTGCCTGACGCAGCTGGGACATCACCTCTTGGGTGCCAGACCTCCAGAACCCTGTATGTAGGCTCTGTCCCCTGTGCGTGGGGCACTGTCACGGCCCTCCAGTTAGTCCTGCTCCTTGGAGGCCTTCAGGAAAGCTGCTTGTCAGCTGCCATCCTTCAGCCCACTCCTTCCTTTCTTGCCTGTGTTCCCAGGAGGAGAAACGAACCTGATGCAGACAGCAAGGAACCATGCAACGCTCTCAGTACCAGGCAGGGAGGTGCAGGCACAAGGAAGATCAGGGGAACACTCTCAGCTGCCTGCTACACATCTTGGATTGTGCCCTCCAGCCTCCCAGAGCTCCAGGTCCCAAACAGTGTTTGCAAGGGACCCCAGCATGTTTCTGCACCCTGACACCCTTCTTGCTCTTGGTGCTCTCTTTATCACATGGCTCAGAAAGCACCCAGAAAGCTTGGCTACCTGGTTTTGCTGAGGAGGCTGCACATTACTCGCCCAGCCATGGATGTAAAACCTGTTGTTATGTGGGAAATCAGAGCTGATGAGAGCAATAATTAAGTCTTTGTACTGGAGTCTTCTGCTTGCGGGGGTGTGTGGTTGGATTGATTCCTTCTCCCATCCTGCAGCCTGCTGGTGACAGGAGACAGCAAACAACCTCCACATGGCACTGGTAACACTGCGCAGAGCCTGAAGGCTTCCACATGTTCCTGGCTGCCATCACCACCAATATCTTCTGTTATGGCATCGTTTTTTCCTGAGGTGAAGCCAGAAATGCACTTTCCTGTCATAGACACTCAAAGCACCCCAGCAAGGAGCAGAGCACAGGAGCTCCAGGTGGTCTTCTTGTTTCTGCATTGCAGGGCAGGAAAATCATGGAATCACAGAATGGTTTGGGTTGGAAGGGACCTTCAAAGATCATCCAGTCCAACCCCCCTGCCATGGACAGGGACATGTTCTACTAAATCAGGTTGCTCAAAGCCCTGCCCAACTTGACCTTGAACAATTCCAGGGATGGGGCATCCAGAGCTTCTCTGAGCAACTTGTGCCAGTGTCTCACGACACTCACAGTGCATTTGTTCCCTATGTCCAGCCTAACCCCACCCTCATTCAGTTTAAAGCTGTTGCCTTGTGCCCAGAGCTGGCCGCAGTGCTCCAGGGGGTCTGAGGAGAGCGGAGCAGAGGGGGAGCATCCCCTCCCTCGGCCTGCTGGCCACGCTGCTGGTGATGCAGCCCAGGAGGTGCTTGGCTTTCTGGGCTGCGAGTGCACGTTGCTGGCTCCTGTCCCATCTGTCACCCACCGGTATCCCCCAGTCCTTCTCTGCAGGGCTGCCATCCATCCATCCATCCATCCATCCATCCATCCATCCATCCATCCATCCATCCATCCATCCATCCATCCATCCATCCATCCATCCATCCATCCACCCACCCACCCATCCATCCACCCACCCATCCATCCACCCATCCATCCATCCATCCATCCATCCATCCATCCATCCATCCATCCATCCATCCATCCATCCATCCATCCATCCATCCCTGCTGGTACTGGGGATTGCCCCAACATAGGAGCGGGACCTTGCAATGAAGTGTGGAGGTGTCCGTGTTGGAGGTGCTCCCCAGGCAGGGTGGCAGCATGCACCATGCCTATGGGGTGGTGGCCAGGCATGGCTGAGCAGGCAGAACCCCTCACAGTACTCCCTGGGGCACTGACACACTTGAGGTGAAGGCCTGGACCAAGTTCAAGGTTTTGGGCACCTCCCTGGTCTGAGCCCCTGGTGCAGCTCTGCTGGAAGCAGGGAGCACTGTCCTGTGGGCTGTCTCTGTGCTCTGCCATATCTCCTCCATTTCCCCATTCAGAGGTGCCGTGGACCCATCCCGGAGGATGATATTGTCCCTTTCAATACCACTGATAGAGCCTGCAGGCAGCATGTCACAGCAAAGCACTAGGCCAGACCCCAGCCCTTCCCTGCCTGTCCTTCTGCTGATGGGGGGTTTGTCAGGCTTGATGAAGTTGCTTCGTTAGCAGCTCCTGCCCATCTGCCCCCACTTGCTCCTGATCACACTGGTGGGATGTCTCCTGCCCTCTCTGCAGCTGTGACCTGCTCTCTCTCCCCCTTCCTGCTACCACTGGGTAGCCCCAGCGAAAGCCTGCCCAGCGCCGTTGTCTCTGTTTAGCACCATAATTTCACAGGTCCTACGTGGCTGGCTGTTAGGCTGAAGTACACGCTGCAATTAATGGTGAAAGATCATGTAATGCACAGAGTGATTAATGTCTGTCTCCTTTGTAGCAGTGTGGAGTATGTCCATGGGGAAGGCAAGACAACCATGCACAGTGGGTGAATTGCTCCCAAAGGAGCTGTGGGTCTGAAGGGACTGCCTTGGGGCCAAGGAGGAGGGCTGTGTTGCAGGGGGAAGGACAGAGCCTGGTTTCTGTTACGCAGCTGCAGGGCTAAAACTCAGGCAGACCAGTGACTGCAGCAGTCAGGTCAGTGAACCCTGCTGATCCCAGTGCCCTCATGGCCTTGAACTAGTCCAGGATGGGGCTTGCCAAGAGCATGCCTGCTCTTGGCTTGCTGCTTTCCATCCCTCCTCCTTCACATTCTGCCAGCTGGGTACTGACGGCTGCTGGTCCTTTGACACCATTCCCTGCCCCGCAGGAATGGGCAGCTTGACCAGGAGGGGTAGATGGGCTTTTCTGGGTGAGCTGGGACAAGCTGGCAGCTTGACCTCCCTTAAAAAGAGGGAACACAGAGTTGGCACAGAGCTCGGAGCTGGGCTGTGGGATGGCAGCCCCCCAAACTGCCTGATGCGCTCTTGAGGCTGGAAGCTTTGCTCCGCTCCACTCTCGGGAGATGCCATGGAGCCAGCAGAGCCCTGAAGGAGCGCGGGACCCACGTCTGGGACAGGGGGCTCATGGCTGACCCGTGTTGTGTCACTTGCAGCTGGCAGGACCACCACCAGCGAGGAGCTGGAGGACATGCTGGAGAGCGGCAACCCAGCCATCTTCTCCTCTGGGGTAAGCACCGGCACAGGCTAAAGCTGAGCCAGCCCCCTCGTCCTGGGGAGGGGGTTGGCTGGTGGATGTGCTGCCACACTGGCCTCAGTACAGGCATGATGAGCACAGCCTGTGCAGGAACTGGGGTCTGCGTGCTCAGGTCTGGTCTGAGAATGCTGCCTGAGCAGGGGCTGTGTCCTGGCTGGGGGGGTGGGGGGTTTGCTGCAAACTGCCTGGCTGGGGTGGCTGGAGGGACTCCGGGGCTTCTTCTCTTCCCTCTCTTGGTGCCCCTAATCCCAGCATCTGAGGAGCGGAGCATGGTGCTCAGTGGCCCTGTCTTCTTGCAGATCATTATGGATTCAAACATCACCAAGCAGGCACTGAATGAGATTGAGACAAGGCACAGTGAGATCATCAAACTGGAGAACAGCATCCGAGAGCTGCATGACATGTTCATGGACATGGCCATGCTGGTGGAGAGCCAGGTAGGGAGACACTGCAGCCCCCTGGCCAGCTCACATGGGGCCGGGGGGGTTGGAGGGCAATGGGGCTGACAGCAGTCCCTTGCCTGGCTGGTTGTTGAAGGGAAAAAACTGCACCTAGGACCAACACAGCTGCCACTGGGGCTGTGCTGGGCTCCCTGGGGCCAGAGCCACCCGCCCTGTGCCCCAGAGCTGGGGACTGCTGCGTGCCCAGGGTGGGAGGTTCAGTGATGGGCTCTGGAGGAGGGCAGCGGGTGGCTGCCATGCAGGTGGAGATTTCTCCATCTCCCCCAGAGCACCAGGCGCTGCCAGGTGAGCTTGGGGTGTCACCAGCCTTGGTGGTCCTGCCAGGCTGCCCCTGGCTGTGCTGCCAGCCCGCGGCACCTGGCCCTTCAGCCAGGCACACGCTCCGGTGTCTCTGCTCACCCCCCTTCTTGCCCACCATGCTGCCACGGCCCGAGGAGACATCAGTGGCAGGTAAAGCCCCACCGAGCCCCCGCCAGTGCTGCATGCTCCACTCTGCATGGCTGTGCCCTGTATGTCCGAGGCTCTCGTGTGGCACCAGGGCCTGCCCATGGCAGGCAGGCAGGGGTGACCATGGCATGGCAGTGTTGGTGCCCCATCCTGTCTGCCTTGGGGGAGAGATGTGATGGATTCAAGGTTCCCTGCCCCACTCTAAGGGCTAGACCATGCCAGCACCCTGCTTTGCCCGGTGGGGTGGGAGATTCCAAACTGCTGGCGCCAGGAGCAGAGGGGTGCCAGGCTGGCAGCAGTGCTGGCAGCTGCCTGCTCTGCCCCAGGCATGGCATAGGAGGGAAGAAGAAGCAGCAGCTTTAGGCAAGGCAGCAAGGCATGGCATAGGCATGGGACAGGGGCAGCAGGGAGCCTGGTGGGGGTCATTGCTTGGGTGGGGAGGCGAGTAACACCAGAGCACCTCTGGGCTTGCAAGGCTCATCTTCCCTGTGCTCTCCAGTGTTAAGCTGAGAAATGAGTGTTGCAGGGCTGCTGGCTATGACCCCTGGCTCTGCAGCCCCGATTCCCTCTGTGCCATGCAGGAGGTCACTGGGCTTCGAGCTGCCCACCTCTGTCGGTCACGCAAACTGTCAGACTGTGTCTCCAGATGCTGCAGGATCTGTGCTGCTTTCCAGTGCAGTCAGGCTGGGAACAAAGGAGGTGGACAGGCTTGGGGGAGTGTGCCCCAGTCTGTGTCTCCACATCCACAGGAGTCCCCGTCCCCAGCCCACCCCCTGAGGCAGGGGGGCAGAGTGGGGCAGGAGTCCCTGCAGGGCCCCGCAGTCAGGCCTCGCCAGCCTCACTCCAGGGCCCTCCGCTCTTGGCAGGGCCCTTGTGCGGATCAGAGCCGTCACCCCTGCATGTGCATGGTTTTGTGAGCATCCCCTGTGGCGCTGCTGGTGCAGTCCTTGCTCCCCTGCCATGCCTCGTTTCAGTAGTGTGCAGTGCAGTGTCAGTGCAGATCCTGTTGTGGCTTTCCTGTCACCTGAGCTATCGAACAGGGTGGCCACCAGGCCAGGACTGGGCTGGGCTGGCGAACCTCCTTGACCCTCACCCTTGCTTGCCTCCCTGATAGAATGTGCACAGAGGTCCCAGCACTCCGGGACGGGGTTCACACTCCAGAGCCCCCACCCCAGGGCACCCACTGCCTGCCGGCAGCTGACGGGCCCGCTCTCTCCCGTGCAGGGCTGGGCGACATCCACATGTGCCGTGGAGCAGCAGCGCAGGAAGGAGCTCACTCACGTCTGCGCGCACACGGGCGCGTGGGCTCTGTCCCCACTCTGCAGGGTGAGATGATCGACCGCATTGAGTACAATGTGGAGCACTCAGTGGACTACGTGGAGAGGGCTGTGTCTGACACCAAAAAAGCAGTGAAGTACCAGAGCAAAGCCAGACGGGTGAGTCACGGCAGTGGCTGAGGCCCATCTTCCCCTGCCTACACTGCTGACACCTCCGTCCCGGGGGCAGTCCCCTGCCTGGCACCCATGCCAGCCCCACTGCCTGCACAGAGGCGTGGGCAGCGTGGCACAGCCTCACGGGTGCCTGGGCATTGCTTTGCCCCACACCACTGGGTGCAGCGCAGGTCTCGCTGGTGGCACCAGCTGAGGCAGAGCTCCCTGGCACAGGCTGCGTGAGTGCTGATGATGAGCCATGGGGCAGGGGTGCTGCGGGGAGGGAGGAAAAGGGACAGGGTGGACCCTGCGGGCCAGGCCTGCTGTGAGAGCCACATCCCTTGCAAAAAAAAAAAAAAAAAATGTAAAGGCGTAGCCCAGCTCTGACACTGAGCACAGCGCCAACTGCCTGTCCTGGTCCCCACACCTGGTCCTGTGTCAGCTTGGCAGCTTAGGGACCTGGGGGCCTTCAGCTCAGCTCTGCCAGCCCAGGGCTGAAAGGGGGAGCTGGGGTGCCCATCTATGCCCCGGGGCTGCTGGAGCCCACAGCAAGCAAACAGGAATAGGGCAGATCACAGCCCCCGGGCTCTCAGGGCCAGCCTGCCCCCCAAAACTCACGGTCCCCTCTCCCTTCTCTCCCTGCTGGTGCTGGGATACCTGAGCAGAAGAAGATCATGATCATAATCTGCTGTGTGATCCTGGGTATCGTCATTGCCTCCACCTTCGGCGGCATTTTCGGCTAGACTCACCCCACGGGACTGTTTGTGTGCGATGGACGGAGCCGCGCGCGCCATGGGGCCGCAGCCGTGCCGGAGCGAACCACGCAGCCCTGGAGCCTCCCAGCAGCATTTCAGTTTCTAATGCATGGTTGTTTGTGACGCTGTGTGTGCGGTGCGTCTGTGTGGAGGGAGTGCCAGCCCCAGGGCGCAGGCAGGGTGCGGGGGACAGTGATGGGCGCAAGGGGGACCCTGGGAGGCCGGGGAGGAGGGGGGGGAACCCAAGCTCTCATCACTGCTCCAGCCCGAGTGGCTGACTGGGACCAGGTGGGGACAGAGGTGCCCTTGGGCACTGCTGCTCCGCCTGTGCTGGGCAGTCTGTTAGTGACCGTCGAGGATGAGGATGGATGGTGTTAGGGGCCCTCGGGAGCACAGTGCCCAGTCAACCTCCCCCAGCTTCCCCGTCACCTCCAGCCAGAAGCTCTCATGTCTCAGCTGCCTCTGTGCTTGCAAACACCTTCCCTCAGGCTGCTTCTCTCCCAGGGCCCTTTCCAGAGGTGTGCTCTGCCAGGCCCTGCCTGTCCCCAACCCTGCCCACGTCTGGCTGTGGGGCTCCGTCCCTGCTGCCCTGCCGATGGCAGGGCTGCCCCCTCCCTAGGCAGGGCACTTAGGGAGCGAGTGCCAGGGGCTGGACGTGCAGCCGCTGGTGGTGGGTGCCTGGTGGAGCAGGGTGGGATGAGGAGCTGCTGCTTGGGGCCCTCGTGGTTGCTTGGGGATGGGAACAGGCTACAGTGGGACCTGTGCTGCACCCTGGTGCTGGCCCAGCAGAGCAGGAGGGGCACAGATACTTTAAAGCCAGCATGTTTCACAGGTTGCTCACCCTGCACCAAAGCCTCATTGTTCTGTTCTTAGCCCTGGCACACAGCAGCCCTGGGTCCTGCTGCTCCCAGGCCTGGGCTCTGGCTGTCAGGGATTGGGGCTGGCTCTGATGCCCACAGCCTCAGGCAGTGCTTGCCTGGGAGCAAGGCTGCTTCCAGCCTCTCTTTTTCCCATAGGCAGCCAGGGCAGGGGGTTGGAGGCAGTTAGGCTTTCTCCTGTCATGGTGCCAGGAGCAGCCCTTGTTGCAGTGATCCCCCTGCAAGCTAGGAGCAGCAGACTTCCTCCTCATTTATCCTACCAGCTCCTGAGCACAGCAACGCCTCCTGCCCCTTCCATCTCTTCGCCACCTCTTGGCATCTGTCTGCCCCTGGCACCTTCTCCTGGCGCAGTGCCCTTCTGCCAGCTCATCCCTTGGGCCATCCAGTGAGGCAACCACACTCAGTGGGGTGCTGTGGGCAGACACCTGGGTGCCCTGTGCTCTCCACTACATGGATGCAGCCACTGTGGGATGGCCTGAGCCTGATGGCAGTGGAGGGACCCTGTGTTGCCACTGTCCGTTTTTCTCAGGCTGGGGAAGGGTTCTGCCCTCACATTCCTCCAGAGGCTCAAGGGCTCCACTGGCCCACGCACATGCCAAAGCACCACAGAGGAGCCCAGAGCAGGGTAGGCACCTGAGGCCGAGCTCACAGCCACGCACATCTGGAAGGAGCCTAGATACTGGTAGCAGAAAAAGGGCACTTGATGGCAGTGCGTATTCCAGCTGCAGGTAACATCTCTGCTCCAACCCCACACTCCCCCACCCTGGCTGGGTGCTGTAACACAGGCACTGGCTCACTGTGTAGTGTACATGGGCGCAGGGTGAAAGGCAGCGCGCTGTAGCCGATACAGCGCTGCCTTCACCCGGTGCAGCCCTGCTCAGCAGCAACCTAGGCACAGCTCTTGCCCTGACACTGTTACCTGAGGTCCCACAATACCTGATCGCATTCAGCCACCCTTGGGAAGTGTGTCCAGCCCAGTCCCCTGCCCTGCCCAAGCCCCAGCCGGTGCGGCCAGAGCCCCCTTCTTTCACAGTCCCATTCTTTCACAGTCCCACAACCACCGATGTGAGGTACAGCACTGCAGCCTGTGTGTGCGAGAGGGCTTGGGCCACCGGGACCCCTGCAAGCAGGAGCAGGCTGGCTCTGGAGCCCCACTCCAGGGCAGGAGGCTGACATGGGCAGGCTCTTTGCTCTGTGGGGATGTCTGGCTACAGGAAAGTGAGCTGGAGGTGATGCAGGAGTGCGTGCTGCTCCTGCCCCTGCCATCACAGTCTGTGAGCGCTGGCCCCCCCGCTCCGGGAAGCAATAACACTGCTGGCAGGGCTGCTCCTGGGCAGGCAGGCAAAAGAGCTCCTCTCAGGCCCTCACCCTGCAGAGATGCTCACTGCTAGCACAAAGTGACTTTTTTCTCTTCCAAGCAGTGGCTTTTGTGGCACAAGCTGACAATAATCCGGGCTGTGGCCCAGCCCCGTCAAAGCACGAGCCCAAGAACAGCACTGGGAAGATTCTGGCACTTGCTGCTCCCTTGTTGGTACCACCACCGTCGGCAGCCCCCCCCAGCAGCAGAAGCCAGGCAGGGACACAGTCGGTGATTCTGCAGGCAGTGGTGGTGCCAGCCTCTGATGCAAGGGAGGCAGAGGAGTAAGCTGCCATTGCTGCCCCGCAGGCAGGCTCACACTGTCCTCACTTGTGAGGTGCAATAATTACCCCTGCACTATGGGAAGCCCCATTCAGTTCCTTTTTACCCACCCGTCGTTGCATGTACAGACCAAATCACCAACAGTGTGGTTGTGCTTTGGGGAGACATTTCACTCTTTCTTTCCAGCCCCCAACCTCACACTACTTGTCCTTTGGATTACACCACCTCTGTTCCAAGTGCCACCTGCCCTCCCAGCGCCGGGAGCGTGTCAATGCAGTATTCCATGAGCAGTGTGGGGCACGCACAGCTTGCACTCGAACTGGGGATTGGTTTTTTTGTAATTAATGTACTTGAAGGCTTTCCGAGCCTCCTGTGGAGTTGTACTGTTGCTGTACTGTGAGCTAAGTGTCCTTGTTTTCTATGTGGATCTTGACCCTGGCTTGCTCTGTCTCACTGGGCTGGATGACACTGTATGTTGCCTCTTTTCTTCTTCACCTTTTCCCTCCCTGCTAGCTTCTCTTTCCTCTCCCAAAGCTTTGGGTGAAAAACAGCTTCCCATTTTGTGGAATTTTTATGTAGAATAAACATTTGTAACTGTAAAGCTCTGGCTGGCACCTCTGTTTCAGGGGAAGGGAGGAAGCGATGGGGAGCAAGGGCTAGGGTGCAGAAAACCCCAGCACCCTGGGAGCACTAAAGCATACAGTGTGGGTCCGATGCAAAACACCCAGAAAAGCAATCACCCCAGGAATAACACTTCTGCCAGGAGGAAGATTTGCCCTCGGGAAAGCTGGCAGGAAACTTGGTGCTGTATTCCCACCTCAGTGCTCCCCTGCACTGAGGGCAGGACCCAGGAGACCAATATCACTTGTGACTCATTGACTATTTAGGGAGGAAGCTGGATATAATGTTCTGGCTCACCTGGAGCTCCAGATGGGCTCACTGCACTCTCAGGAAGATAGCAATGGTATTGCAGACACCAAGTGGCCAGAGCACTGTCTGCCACTCTACCTTCACCAGGAAAACAGGGCTGGAAGCTTTGCAGTTGGCTGTTGGGTAGCACCTGAGTCAGTTTGCACCTCCAAGAGCCAAAATGGCCTGATCCAGAAAGTCTCAGGCCTGGGGTGCCCATCCACAGGAGGCTCGCTGAAGAGACCAATACACCATCTTCCACACCAGCAGTGTCCAGAGCAATTCAGAAGCGAGGGCGGCGCTTTCGACCTGTGTATTTTGTGTCTGCTCGCACTTCCCTGTGGAGAAAAGCAGAGAGTGACTAAGCACGATCCACAGGTCATTCTTTGGATGGGAAGGGAAGCGGGTTTGTGGCAGGAGTTTGAATGGGTGACAGCAGGCCAGACCAGCAGAGTCAGGCTCAGCTGAGGCAGTGCCCAGCAGAACTTACTTGCCCTGTCGCCGTCTACGCTCCTTCTTCTCAAGAATCCAGTCCCGGCTTTTCTTCACAGACTTGCCCTTGGCGTTTCTGAACCGTGTCCTGCAGAGAAAGATGACAGCAGCTGGAGAGAAACTGAGGTGCAGGGGCACAGTCTTCTGTCCTGGAGGATTGCCACCTGGAACTGGGCATGCCCTCTGTCTCATAAAACCAGTGAGTGCCCCTCCCATCAGCCCTGGGATGAAAGAGGCTCAGCCAGTAATGGGGTAGGTCGCCAAACAGTCCAGCTTCAGACACACCAGGGGAGGAGGCTGCTTCCAGCCCTGGCTCTGAGCTGAGGGGTACCTACCCTCCACAGGCTGCAGCAGGCCAGCACTCTCCTGTGCCATATATGACACACCAGCAGCACGCTGGACTCTGGGATCTTGGGAGAATACAAGTTCAAACACAACCATCTTGCCCTCGTCTGCTCTACTCTAAACAAAGCAGACAAACCCTCTGGCTTCCAAACAAGTTGCTGGTTCTGCTATTGCCCTCCAAAACCAGGCATGCCCTGGACTAAGTGAGAAGAGGACAGCAGTGTAAGAGGCAGGAAAACATGGCAGCCACAAGCTCCTGGCAGCCACGACAACTTTCCTCTGTTTTTTGTTCTCTGTCTCTCCCACTGGCTGCAAGAGGGGCTGCTCCCTGCACCATCACCGCGGGAGGAGACCTGACCAGCAGAAGCCCCTCCAGGCCACAACTAAGCACAGCTAAGCAAATAATTCATCAGCAGAAGAAAGGGAACACCAGACTTCAGGCACAGTAGACTTCCTCCCCAACAAAAAGCCCTGCTTGCTATCACTAACACTGTAAATATTCCCCCTCCCACCACCACTGGCCTACGGTACAGCGCTGAGCTGGAGAGCCAAGTGCTGGGCAGAATGCAAACTGAATGCTCAGCTAGAGCTCTAGGGTAAGCATCAACAACAGTTCTATGATGCCACAGCAAAGCTCTCTAAAATAACCTGTTCTGTTCCTTTTGTCTGCAGCTGTTCAATAAGATAAAGCAGTGCCCATCTGGGCTGCCAAGGGTCATCCCAGTCCCTTCCCTTCGGTCACTTCTCACAGGGGAGTGCTGTGGTCCTCAATCAGCAAAACCCAGCCCTTACACCCCCCACATTCCTTGTCTGGGGAGAACTTGCAGCTTCACCCCTACACAATACCTCTCATTGGTGAACTTTGCCTGGTGTATCTCTTCTCCATCAGCACACTCAGTACCAAGGCCCTGAAAAGTAAAATTGGGGAGTCCAGTTTTGCTCTGGAGCAGGTAGAGGTAACAGTCATACCACCTTAATTAAGGGGAACCCAGGGCTCTGCAAGGGGAATGACTGAAGCAGGAACAAATTGGTCTTCCAGAAATTGTGGCAAAGAAAACAGATCTCAGGGAGAGCAGGGGTTGGTGAGACTGACAGCAAATGTATAAATGAAGTCCCATCTGCACGTGCATTGCTGCCTGGCTCCCACTCTTGCCCACAGCTCTTTCACATCACCCAGCAGCTAGGAAGGCAACTCTGCTACCTCTCAGAAGTCCTCACCTTCGGTAACGCACCAGATGCCCCAACAAAGAGACAAAGGAAGAACCTGAAAGAACGAGAATAAGGAGCATGAAGCCGGGCTTCAGCATGCGATTCCCAGTACCCATGCAAGACTGAGACTGTTTATAACACAGTCAGATCTAAGCTGTAAACCCTGTCCAGGACTGATTCACGGGAGTGAGAACAGCTTGGGGAAAAAAAAAAAAAATAAAAAAAATCACTGCTAAACCCAGGCCTCACCCCAAAAACACAAATACACACAGACACAGGACTCACTTCTTGGCTTTGGCACTGTTGGGGTAATCTACCACCATTCCCCCGGTAAAGCCAGCTCTCATGGCTTGGGCCGTGATGAGCTCCAGCTGGAAAAATAAGCACGTGCAAAAGTTATTTAGCAGTCATCCACCAGCAATGCCCAAGAGACCTCTGGGCTCAACCACAGCTAACTGTGCATGCCAAAGATAGGTTGTTCCTCCTGTTAAACCCTGCACCAAGCTCCCGGTTCTGCAGTACCATCTGGACACCAGTCTACTGCTTTATTTGGTTCTCCCTGATCTTCAGTCTAGCCTGGGTTAACTGGCACAGCAGGCTCTCTATGAGAGGGATACTGGGCTGAATTTTCCAGCCCCAAGGAGTTACGGTACAGTGCTGGTGACTACAGGCCAGTCTTCAAACCCAGCCACACAGGAGAAGATCCAGGAGAGAAGACTCAGATTGTGACCTGCCAATTTCTTTGATCTTAAGGCTCAGCCCAAGACAATCTGTGAAGCAACACAGGGCATTGTCCTTATAGATTTTTCTTGGGCTCTTGGAAGAGCTTTACAGATGGTGGGAAGGACAGGGACAGACCTGATGTGGAGAAACACGATGCATTCAGATCCCCAAACAGCACCGACTTCACTGCCTGGCTCCGCCTGTACCTACTCCCCAATGCCTGATGTCTCGTACCTGTTCTGAGTTCTCGGGGTACAGCTGCAGGACGGCTCGGGATCCTCGGGCCTACAGGAATAAAGTCAGTCACAAACCTGTCTCAGTGCAGGCAACCCCTTTAGACACCCAATTCCTAGCCCAGACATTAGCACCCACCTCCCCAAAGCCTCCTGGACAAGTCTCCCAGGAGAGCTGCTCAGACGGCAGAGCCAGCTCCTCCACAGCACAGCAAGGGACAGGGGTAACAGCAGGGATCAAAGAAGCATAAGACACCATGCAGGCAGACAAGGAGATAGGAAATGGGTGCTCCTATCAGTCCTCTGTATCACAGCAGCATTTACTTAAAATACCCGATAAAAAATACCTTGCTAAAATGCACCAGCAAGGCTGTAGAAGTAGGCAGAGACCTGACTGGGAGAGCACGACACTTACCAAGGCAGTATAAAGAGTTGAGAAGAATTGATAAAGGCGTTTTAGAGGGCTGTGTGATTTCTTATCAGCATTACAAAGCCACTGCACTGCAGAAATACTAAAAAAGAAAACAAGACCCCCGGGACACTGAGCCACTGATTCTTTCACAGAGCCTATCGCCTCCCTTTGAGCTTACTTTCAGCACTAAGCATGTGCTAGGCTTCAGGGAAACAATTTAATTTTCTCCATGTAGCTTTTTCTTGTTTTGCAGTTACACAAACCCCTCTGGAGACTCACTATGACCAAACCCAAGAAGGCGCAGTAGTTATCCACACACAAAAGCATCACTAAGCATCCCCTTTAGGCCAGGTGCCCAAATAATTCAAGTGCTTAGCTGTGTCCCTTGCATGGCCATGCAGGTTTTGCCAATGAGCAATCCCAAATAGAGCATTCAGATCAGCAATGGACAGTCCCTGTTCCCTCCCAGCACCTTTCTGAGGCATTCTCTAAGAAGAAAAGTGTTTCTGTCCCCTTCACCTATCCCTTCAACCCCCAAATCAACCATCAAACCTTTGACGCAGGGACTGACCTTGCAGATAAGCAATGGTACAGATATACTTTCTGTTTTCCTCCTTGGAGCAGCTCTCAACCCTCCTGACTATATCCCGAATTTTATTTTATTTAGTCCAATAAACTTCCTAGCTCACCAGCACAAAGAGAGACATGTATCACTTGGGAAACAGCTATTGGAAGCTGCTTCGACCATGCAGAACCTCAGCAGAGTCAAGCTGCATGGAGCAAAGAGAGTAACTGTTGAGGACAGTTGCGTTCATCTGTTACGCACCATACACAGACTCTGTGTACTGTACAGATGATACAGTTGTGTGGAATACCAAGAGAGCTCACTTATGTACACAAACTCACCTGATACAGCCGTCAAACATGCCAGGCCTGAAGGGAATGCCATGACCCACATCTGCAAGGAGGAGGTCTCCTTCCACCTCCCTCTCTACGGCCACATCTGCACAGGACACAGCACAGCTCGGGCAACCAGCTCAGACCTTTGGGGATCACCTCGGAGGTGAGCCAAGGGTGGCAGGGGAGGAGAGCCCGCTCACCCAGCATGGCAGGGCTGATGTCCATGCCAATCCAGTAGTGACCTTCTTCAGAGATGTAATCCCCGCTCAGCCCAGAGCCACAGCTGAAAGGAAGGAGTGAGGAATGTGCGGGCCCGGTCTGAGGGTGACACCGGCCAGCCACAATGCTACGGTAGCCTGTCCCTCTTCTTCAGCCCACAATAGGCGCCCGGGTGCCCCTCGCCCACCCAGCCGCAGCGCTGCGGGCGGCTGAAGCCCCAGGCGCCCCACGCGCCGTGACACGGGGCACGGCCCCCGCTCACCCCACGTCCAGGAGGAGGCACGGCCGGTCCTCAGGCAGTCCCAGCAACTCCACTGCCCGCTCCGACATCTGCGACTGGATCTCCACCACCCGGGAGCTGCAAGGCACGGCGGGGGCATGGGCAGCGGCCCCGCGGCAGGCCCCACACCCCCGCCCCGCCACACGCCCAGCACGGCAGGGCCCCTCTGCCGCCGGGCCCCACGGCGGGACCTCCCCGCGCCGCCACTGCGAGCCGCCCCCACGCGACGGGGCCCCTCTGAGCCGCCCCCACGCGACGGGGCCCCTCTCCGCCGCTCCCTGTTCCTCCGTACTTCTGAGTGTACTTCCGCGCCTCGGCCTCATCGTAGAACTGCAACGAGAGAGAGAGGCGAAGGCGGTGAGGCGCAGGACACCCTGGCGCGGGTCGGTCTGTCTGTCTGTCTGTCTGTCTGTCTCTCTCTCCGTCTATCTGTGCCGCCGCTCACCAGCTCGGGCGGCCCGCGGTGCTCCGGCCGCCGCCCGCTGCCCGCCATGCCGCCGCGTGACGTCACTGCCCTGCGCCGCGCGCGCGGGGTGTGTGGGTGGGTGGGTGTGTGTATCCCAAGATGGCGGCGGGCGGCTCGGCCTGATGCAGCCGGCGGCGTTCGGCCGCCTCCGCCCCCTGCCCGCCACCCCGCGGGGCCCCCGGCCCGGCCGTGGCCTGGCGCCGTCCCGCGGCGGGCACACCGGCGGCGGCGGAGCTCCGCGGGCGCGCCGCGACCTGTACGAGGTGCTGGGGGTCCCGGCCACGGCGACGGCGGCGCAGATCAAGACGGCGTACTACGAGCAGTCGTTCCGCTACCACCCCGACCGCAACGCCGGCAGCGCCGCCGCCGCCCGCCGCTTCGCCGCCGTGAGCGAGGCCTACAGGGTGCTGGGCAGCGCCGCCCTGCGCCGCAAGTACGACCGCGGCCTCCTCGGCCCCGAGGACCTGCGCGGCGCCCCCCGGCCCCCGGGCCGTCCGCCCACCCCACCACCCCCGCCGCGCCGGGCCGCCGCCACCCGCCCGGGGCCCCTCACGCCGCCCTTCGACTTCGACGCCTTCTACCGGGCGCACTACGGGGAGCAGCTGGAGCGGGAGCAGGTGCTGCGGGCGCGGCGGGAGCAGTTGCGCCTCCGTCGGGAGGAGGCCGCTACTCTGGGACGTTTCCAGGCGCTCTCCAACCTCTCGGCCGGGGTCATCTTATTGCTGGGTTTCGCTGTCCTCTACAGCCTCAAGTGACAGCGGGGCCACGGCAGGGCTGGGCAGCCACCGTGCGCCCATCCAGCTGCATGGCCGCGTCAGGACAGCGTGTCACCAGTGGGCCTGGTGGCTGGCTGGGGGGTGTCCCCTGCACCCAAACAGTTAGAGACACCGTGCGTGGGCTCTGCTCCTCAGGCTGAGATGTGTCCCTTCTGCCAGTGTGACCTTCAGAGACAGTACACAGCAAGTAAGCTCTGTGTGTGTGTGCTGTGACCTGACCCCTCTGTTGACATGACCTTCGGACAGAGTGCAACTGGCAGGCGTGGTATGTGGGTGTGATGTGACCGCTGCCAGTGTGATCTGCAGTCAGCCTGCGACTACTGGATGCCACGTGTGGGCCTTTTATCCACAGGCTGCGATGTGCCCTTTGCTGGTGTGACCTTGCAGATGTGGCGTAGAGGCTCAACAGGCTGCCCTGTGTCCCCTCTGCCAGTATACCCTGCAGACGCGGTGCCTGACAGGTAAACGCAGTTCATGGACTCTGCTTTGTGGACCGTGCACTGGCACTGCTGTTTGACCTTGTTGAGAACCACATGCCTGTTCTAAGTCTCAGCAGAGATTAAATGGCTGTCAATGGTGTTTGTGTGCTGTATGTGTTCATGGGGGGTGCTCTCATCAATGCTGGATTATGGCACTCTGTGGTTTTGTTAATCCGAGACCTGCCACTTCTGTGCTGTCACACCCGTTGTCACTACATCTTTGGAGAATCCAGACTTCATCATTGCCCTTGTCTGTTCCTGTTCAGGGCTTGCCTCACTGTGGTAAACATGGAAGTTTTGGTTTCAACAGCCTGGAAGAATGAAACCTGGGCCCATGGCAGCTCATGTCCTTGCTAGCATGTGACATCTCCTGGAGGTGCTGCCGAAAACACTTATGTGTTGAGAACAGCCTGTCTTGTCTAGGGGTTGCCAGGAACTTTGCACAAGACCATTCCACACAGGCCTTCATGGCTGGGAGTGGAACACTTCTGAGCACTGAGTGGCATCGCTCATGTTTTACATGTATCTAAGCATCATTTGCACATAAGAGTATTTGCCTATTTAAGTACTGAAGTATTTTAAGAACTAAAAATTATGTCCCTCAGAGATTCTGTCTTTCCTTGGGTGAAAGTTGCTTGTGCTATGTTGGTATTACACGAAGTAAGTGAAGCTTCATGGTACTGCACTTGTGAGTGTGCCAAAGTCTTCATCTGCATTTGCTGGGCCTGGCTGGCAGTGCTCTGCGCAGGAGCCAAGCCTTTACCTCTCACTGCAGTGACCCTGGGTTTTCTCCGAACAAAAAAAAATGTTGAAAGCAAATGTCCCATGTTTTCTAGCTGTGGAGTTCTGTGATACTGAACTGAGCCTGAGGCAGTAGCATGGCAGAGAGGGTAATGTCTGCTGGTATAGGGTATATGCTGTAGAGGAGAGCTTCCTGCCTCTCTGGAAAGCATTGTACCACTTCCAGCAGCAGACTCCAGAGACTGCTGCATGTTTGGAGCAAATTCAGCCCAGGGGCAGAGAGAGAGCTTTCCAGGATCCTCTCTAGTTGTCAGTCCCTCTGTGTGGATTTATAGTGCTGAAATGTCAGCATGTGAAGAGCAAGAGACTGGTGTCCAAGGACATTGGTTACAGAGTGAAAGTCTCTAGAGTTGTGGCTCTGTGTCACATGCTGATGCATTTTCATGCTATAAACCAAGTCACTTGAAAGACCATAGGTGGCTTCTGTGGCAGAGTTTGGCAGCAAACATGCTCTTACAGTCTGGAAAAGCTAGGGGTGTCCATGGGAAGCGGTGGGTACAAGGGAGCACCTCTCTAATTCCTGGTGTTATGCCTTGCAGGTTTTTAAGATAGCCCTGCCAAACACGAGGTGTCCTCTGGATTGATCTTTCTTAAATCTACTTAGTGCTGAGGTCTGGGGTGGTGGGCTGTTCCCGCAAGCAGGCTCCATACCCAGCCCTGAGCCAGCTTCCTGGCAGAGAGAGAGTCTGGTGTAGTGCAATAGGAACAGGCTAGCTAGTGTGCTGCCTGCATTGCTCTGCCCCCTAACAGTGGGAGAGGGTAGAGCTGCTCCAGTAAGCTGGCTGGGCTGACCCTTCTGCTCTGTGTTTGGTGCTTGTATCTGAAATTTGGGGGTGAAGAAACCAGGCACCAAAACTGAGCGAATCCATGTGCCTTTCAATGAGTGGTTTGGGCAGTTCATATTACTGGTTCTTCCTCAGATCTCCATGATACTTCTTGAACATTAAAGATATCCAGCCATAAACATGACAAAATCACACATCTTTCTTTTGGTGGTCTTTGGTAAATATTCCTTGTTCTTGCTGAAAAATGGAGGCTAGGGGACAGGCTGGTGTTTCACGTAGTGACTGTGGCAGGTTGAGGAGGAGGGTGGGGAGGAGGGGGTCCTGTTTCCCTGGGGCCATTCTGGGAAGGGTGGGCATACTGCCTGCAGTCAGTGGTGATTGGGTGGGATGGCCTCCCCGGGCCACTGTGCACTTCACTCCTGCCTGCTGAAGAGCCGTTCTCTGCTGCCTCTGACACATGGGGGTTGCTGTGCACTTGTGACGTACCCTCTGAGCTCACCACGCTCTGCAGTTGTGTGCTGCAGGCAGTGTTTAGTTTTGCTGCTGAGTTTGGTCAGAGGAGGGGAAGCATGGCGTGCAGGGTATGGGGGGCTGCTTTGGGGCACCCAGTCTGTCGCTTTTGGGGTGGTACAATGTATGCTTTTCCCCAATACCGCCTTCGCCCTGGTTGGGCCTGAATGCTCCTCTGCTCCAGGATTTTAGGGGCTTGGGTGCAAAGTCGCTGGAGCTAGTCCAAATGCACAGACCTGACTGTCAGATTTCAGCACACCAGGTTTCACTCTTTGTCTTTTTGTGTCAATACTGTCATCACTTTCGTGTCTTTCCCTAGCTGTTTCACTTATGGAAAGGTGCCAGGAGAAACTGGATTTTTTTGTGTGTGTGTGTGTTTTTCTTTTAGTCAGGTGAGTGCAGTCCTTGTGGGATGCCCATGGGACAACTACTAGGGGAAATACAGCAGGCCCTAACTATGACGGCAGCGGTGTGATGGTAGGGGCTTGTGTGAGCTGTACAAGTGCACTAGGAACAGAAGGTCAAAGTAGAAAAGGAGAGGAAACAGAGCACAAGTGGGACTGATAGATGTGTGAGGCTTGCTGCACAGGAACCTACTCTGTATTTAAACCCCATGTTCTACCACTGTGGCAGTGGCTGAGCAGTACTGTTGTCGAGAGGTGACTATCCAGTGCTTCCAGCAGTGGGATGCTGAGCAACTGGAGTGGGTTACAGAGCTGTCTTCAGAACGGGAGAAGTGCTGTGCAGATCAGTGAGAGCTATGAGAAGTTTGCTTTCCTTCACACTTGCTCTGAGGGAGCACGGGCTTGTGTGCTGCTCCAGCACCTTCCTCTGGCAGCTGGATCTGAGCCATGCAGAAGAGGGTGAAGCGCTGCAACTGCCAGTGGCCTTGGCTGTCTTTACACTGCAGGGACAACAAAGACAGATCCTTGGGGTACTGAGCCACAGAGGGTCATTTCTGTGAGAGACAGCCCATCTTCCTGCAGCCATGGGCAAGGCAGCCATGGGTAGGGGGTCACAGCAGGGAACTGCTTCCACTCCCAAGTCTACTACAGGCTTTGTCTCCTTATGTGGATGTATCTAGTTACTACAAAACAAATCTCAGTAAAATACTGCAGTCAGCTGTTACACAGCCTGCTCCTGGCCTGTGCCTTCAGGGTGGTGAAGATGGCAGTTTCACCTGAGGAGAAGGTCACCATGAGTTGTCAGCATCCTGAGGCCTTTGCTGGGAGGAGTGTGATGTTCACAGTAGGGACTTCTTCCTCCTCACTCTCAAGTCCACTGGGGCCACTTTTACACATTTTCCAGCACATCTTACCCTTCTCTCCATTGCTCTGCAGCTCCACATTATGTCTGCCTTTATAGTAAGTGATGTATTGCATGCATGCTGGATGCTGGGGTTCTCTTTTACCCATGCCACCGGTTTTTGCCAGGTCTTAGATTTGCGTCACTGAAAGGAACTGCCAAATGGTGCATGGCTTGTGGGACCTCAGCTATCACCCTATGCCCACCCCTTGAGGGCTGTACTGCTCTACTCTGCACCTTCACCCCCGGGGTTTATTCTGTGTAACTTCTTGTTACTCAATCCCACCCTTGAATTACTAACAGCAGACATCACACTGTGCCACTGTAAAAGGGAAGCAAAACTCAAACAAAGTAGTTAATGAGTTAACGGCCACTTGGCAATCTGAGACAAGGCTGGATGAAGCCTGACAGCCCCAGTCCTGAGGCCTTGCAAGCTCAGTGTAGACCCCATTCCCCAGTCCTATCCCAGCCTGTTCTCAGGGGCTGATGTCCACGGAAGTGCAGGCTTGGCGTGCTGAGCTGCCCACCTCGGCTGCTGGGTGGTGCAGCCTGCAGGCATGGGGTCTCCTTATTCTTCCCTCCATCTGGAGAAACTGAGCTGCTCTTTGGGAAATAAACTGTTGGACCTGGCTCCTGGCAGGTCTTCGGGGGTGCCAGCTGTGCTGGGGCATGAGGGGCAGAGACAAGAATCTGCAGACTGGGTTGAGCAGGGTCCTGACCAGCACTGGAGGGGTGGCCATCACACCTGCCTCCTCAAGAGGGGCTGGCCTGGCAGGGAGGGGGGTGAGGGGACAGACCTGCCCTGGGATTTGTGGACAGAGCTCTGCATCCCAGTCCTGCTGCTGCTGGGCCCATGCTGGCTCTACCCTCCCAGGGAAGGGCCATGGTTGGCAGCACCTGTGGATGGGGTGGCAGCTTCCCCTCCCTTCAACAGCATCTCCTGCGGCAACTCCTCTGTTAATAGTTAACCGTTAATAGAGTTTCCCCTGCTAGCAGCCCGGCTGCGGCTGCCTGCGTAGTGTCTGCCACACAGGGAGGCCCAGCTGGGGCACCCTGGCACCACTCCTTGCTGGCTGGCCTCAGCCCGGGCTTTTGCATCCCCGCAGACCCAGGGTTGCAGCCTAAAGGGTCTCCTAGAGGCTGCCCATGCTGGGAGCACCACTTCTCTCCCAGGTGTCCTGTCCCCCCTGGGCTGGGGGCTGCTGCTTACCCAGCCTGGCTTCTGAAAAGCCAAGCCTGGGGGGCCAGGGAGGCCACACTGCTGGCAGGGCCAGCTCCCTGCCTGCCCCTCCTGGGTTTGGCTGCGCACCAGCTGGCAGAGGGGCTGAGCTGGCCCCAAGCTGCTGCCTGGCCCAGTGCAGAAATCAGTGCCGGTGCACACCTTGGTGGCAACACTTCCTCCTCCCTGGGGTGAGTGCAGGTTCATTGGCCCCTCCTCAACATGGTCCTGCAGGGCAGGCAGTGCTTGGTGCCGGCAGGGAGAGCCATTGTGCTGGCAAGGAAGGGCACAGAGGGATCACCTTGGGCTGCTGCCAGCTCCTGCCTGTTAACAATGTTCCCATCTTGTGCCCCGTGCAGGACTTTGTCCTCAGTCCAGGCCTGCCTGCAGAAGGGGCTGAAGCTGCCAGTATGGTGCGGCGCTGACTGCACACTCTAGAAGCAGAGAGGCAGACACCCAGTGCTGCCGTATTTCCCAGAGGCGCAGGGTACACTAACACTGCACATACACACCACTGCAGCTGGGGGGTCCAGCTGCCTGCCTGGGGCAGTATGTGCTCCAGACTGGACAGGACCAACTCCAGGGTTGGAGGAACCTCCCCAGGGCAGGGGCTCACCTTGCTTGGCAGCTTCCCAGTGATTAAAGGACCTTGGCTGAAGTGGGGTGGTAGCCAGCCCAGCGGGACCATGGGGCTGCCGGGGCCTGCCCGCTGAGCTGGCCAGGCTCCCAGGGGTGCTGCAGGACTCCTGTGGACAGAAAGACAGTCAGGGCAACAGCAGCCCAGCTCACTTTGTTCTTTGGACCATTACTTTTAGTGCTGTCAGATCTGGTGGGGCACACTCACTCTCCCCAGGCTGTAGAGAGGCAGCTCCTCACCTTGAAGGTTCACACTCATGGGGCTGCATTTGCCCTTACTGTAAATTGACTGCTTGGAGCAAGGGAATTTTGTCCTGGGGCCGGTGACAGACACATGCAGCATTGCCTGGGACTGCCCAGCCCCACTGGTTGTGCCTGGCTGGTTTTCAGGCAGCTTGGCTCCATGTGCACAGTTGCCCGTGCACTAGTGCCAGCCCCAGTGCTGTGCCTGGTCCCATCTTGCAGGGCAGTAACACAGCTCATCAGCATTGCCTCTGGCTGGCCATAGATGTGCCTGGCTCTGGGCTCCAGCATGCACCATATCCTCACCCCATCACCTTGGGGTCCTTTTTTCCTGAGCCAGGTGCTAAGGTGGCCTCTCCCAGGTGGTCATCTGGATCCCCAGGGAGAAGCCTTGTGCTTACACCCCCTCTCCCCCCTCCTTGTGTGTGTGTGCTCAAAGCCCTCATAGCTTGACACACACACATTGCTTGGGCCCCTGGCCCCATGCTGCACCCACAGCTCTGGTCATCTTGTGGAGCATCCAGTGCAGCCCTCAGGATAGCCTGAGCAACTATCTGGGTGACTCCAGGGCACTGGGTAGTACAGGGCTGCCTGTGCCTCCCAGCCCCCTCCAGCCACAGCACAGATGGTCCCACACGGACCAACTGGCCTCTTAAATACTCCTGCTCAGTCTCCTTATTTCCCTGGTTAAGTTGGACCGCTGGGACTGGTAAGGGAACCCAACCAAGCTCTCATGCCATGGCTGTCACCCTACCATGGTCCTTCCTCCTGGCATGTGGCAAGCCACAGAGCCTGACTGTGGCAATCAGGCATGTCCTGGGACCTTTCACTGACAGACTGAGCCCAAACTGAGCCTGGTGGGACCCACGAAAACAGAAGGTGCTCTGTGAAACCCCAGATATTCCGATGACTACCATTTCCTTGACTGCCAATAAAGCCACAGTGGCCACTTCACAATTTATCTTTGTCTTAAACCTGTTTTAACTGGTTATACTGGATAAGTGGCCCCAGTCCCACAAATAAGGGCTGCAGTTTGACATAGGGCTGCGTACCTTCAGTGGTGGAGGGGGTGATCAGACACTGCAAACCAATGGTTCATATTTTGGAGTGCTTTGTAGCCAGAGCCAGGACCACTTGCTGCTTTAGATCTTTTCTAAGCAGTCGGCATAACAGTGCCAAGCTGCAGGATGGGCAGGCAACGGGAAAAGAACTAAAAAATGCTACAGACAGGGGTTGAAAGCACAAGAACTTGAAACCAAATCAAAAGGTAGAAACAGCACAAGAGACACCTCAGAACAGGGAATAAGTACCCCAGGGTGCTGAGGAGGAATCAGGGCTATCCCCCCAGCCTTGTCTCACCATCCATTGCGTGAAATTAAGGAAAGCAACAGAGGAGCCTGGGTTGAAACAGGATGAGCTCAGTCCTCCTGCTGCCTTTTCCAGTGGTGGCTGAAGTAAGGGCTAATGCGAGAGGGTGGACAGGGAATGGGAACTAAAAACACTGCAGGGTTACACACAGGCTGATGAGACCAGCTGCTGCGGAACCATGAGCAAGCCCAGCTGGCTGTGGAGTGTAACTCTTCATGGGGGTGAGGGCTTGGTTGCGGGCATGAGGCATCTCTGGTTACCAGAGGTCTTTACCGTGTGCAGGGGCAAACTGCTGAGAGATGGTCCCTGGCACCTATCTGGGGGAAATGAACACTCACTGGGCTCTCTGCCTGCCTCAGGGGTGGCTCTTGCCTTCCCCAGGGTGTTGACAGGCTGAGCAAAGCCTGGTGCAATGCCTGCAGGCTCCCCAGGCTGGAGGACGTTCCTTGACTGCCAGTCACCTCCAAGTGTGGCAAGTGTCCTCCCACATCCATTTCCCACAGCTTGCCTGTCCCATCCCTCTCTTCACTGCCAGAGCCAAGGGGTAACACAGAGCATGGAAATGAGCCTTTATTCAGAAAGCATGTGGCACCCAGTACTCCTGGGCCCTCTTCCCTCCTATCTCCTACTCAGCTGACCCCACTGACATCACCACAAACCACCTGCCCCCACCTCCTGCCATGGTTCATCTTGCTGTGGGTGCAGAAGACATACCCCCCTGGCAGCTCCCCAAGTGCAGGACCCACTGCCTGGCCACAGCACCCGCCCGATCCCACCCCTGGGCCAGACACCTCCAACCCCCTGTGAGCACCCACCCCTGTGCCTGCCCAACAGACACTGCAGCCCCTCAGAGCTGTGTCTACCCCACACACCCACCCCTACACACGCCCCAGCTAGGGTGTTGCTGTACAGCCCCTGAGGAGGCACAGGGCCAGGAGCAGGGATGTTCCCCAACCCTGCCCTGCTACCGGTGTGGAGGTTCCTGCTTCTGGTGTTGTGGCCGCTGCTGCCTGTGAATGGGCTGGGAGCTGAGCAGGGGGATGTGTCCAGCAAGGCACAGGGGCGAGCCCAAATCGGGGATTTTGGAGCAGGGAGATGCTGGCTGGTATCCCAGGGCTGGGAGACGATGTCTGGGAGGTGCAGCTGGCATGGCAAAGGGCACAACAGCCTCCGAGGGCATGAGAAAGGCAGGCACAAAACCATAGGAGAGATTGAAGGCTTTGGGGGCTACTCCACTCCGCAGTGGGGCAAGGCGGGCTGGTGCTGGGGTAACCAGGGCCCCTGGGCACCCCACAGCGCCCACAAGGTCCCTGCCCACCTGGTCCTTCTGCAACAGCTCCTGTAGTTTCTCCAGCTGCGTCCGGCAGATGTGGGAACGTGTGCGGCTCTGGCAGAAGGACTCCAGAAAGGAATCAAGGGGCAGATCCTGGGCCAGGAACTGTTGTATCTGTGCCTGTGGGATGGGCAGTGGGATAGCATCAAGCCAGGAGAGCCGTGGGATCACAGAGGGACCCCCTGGACCCTGAACTCTTCTCCAGGGCCTGGCACACAGGAGATCACAGAGATGAATCTGGGGTCCAGGGGAAGTAGGGGCAGCAGCACAGGGATCTTGCCTGACTCACCTCTGACTCTGCCTCGAAGGCATTGAGCTTGGCTTGGAGCTGGCCCAGGGCACTCTGCTGGCTCCACTTCTCCAGGTACATCTCTGTGTTGGGAAGGGATGGGGCTGCCAACAAACCTCCCCCCGGACGCTCCCACTGCTGGAGCTGCAGTCTTTCCCATCCCCAAGCATCAGCTACCCCCTGCCACGAACTGAAACACCCCAAACACATCCCTGGAGCCAGCCACCTGCACACCGAGGCCCACATCCCACCAGTCACCAGGCCCAGCCGAGGGCTGGCTATGTCGCAGGCAGCATCACTCCCCACTGCTCCTGATCATGGCTGGGCCATCTGCCTGGGGCAGGTTTGAGGATGCTGAGCCCACCCAGGCCCTCATATTAACATGGGTTGCTCTGGCCATGCTGGGCTCTGCCTTATCCCCTCAGCTGTGCCCCACTCACCCAGGCGCTGCTGCTTGTCCCAGCAAGCCTCTCGTATCTCCTGCAGCTCCTGGTACTTTATGGCCAGGGAAGCCTTCCCATCCTCCAGCCGTGGGCGCAGGGACAGGTTCACCCTGGCCAGGGTACAGTTTGAAGCCAAACACATCTCCCGCTCCAGCTGCAGACTCTGAAACTGGGGATGGGAATGGGGAGTGTGTGTCAGCACTGGGACAAATGGGCAGAACCGGTCAGAGCAGGCAGCCTGCCAGGAGGGGTCCATCCAGGGGCAGACCCTCTCCTCCTGCACCGTCCCCATCCCTCTGCTCTGCCTGGAAAGGGGGGTGCACCCCAGGGGGGATGCAACGGCTGGACCTGGCCTTCAGGCTGCATAGGGCACCTTACCCTGAATGTGGCAAACCTCACGGCTGTCTAACCCAGCCCACTCTGCAGAGGAAAGGGCTCATTAGCTAACAAGGGTGTCAGGAGAGAGACACACACCTTCTCCCGCTGCACACAGACCTCCCGCCCACGCAGAGGGGAGTAGAGCGTGGTGCTGGGCTCCCCTTTCAGAGGCCCGGGGAAAAGACGGTGAGATCAGGCTGAGAACGAGCACTCGAGGGAACACTCGGAGCTCATCCCAGGGGCGGGGAACGAAGCCAGGCGTGGAGGGCGAGGAGAGGGGCCGGGGCAGCGGATGTGGCTCTGCTCCGGGTTTTGGTGGCCCAAAGCTGCTTGGCGGGCGATGGCTGCCGAAACGCCAAGCAGCACCTGGAGCCCCGGGACCAGCCGCCAGCCGAGACGCCCAAGGGGCGGCCGCCCCAACCCAGCCGGTGAGGGGGTTTGCCGCTCCTCCGGAGCCCCCCCCCCCCCCGCCCCGGGCTCGGCGGGCGGGATTCCAGGTATCAAGGGAAGCCCAACAGGCTCGGCCGCGGCCCCCCCCCCCGGCCCTACCTTCCTGCTGAGGCGCGCGGCGCGCTGCAGCCGGGGCTCGTCCTGCAGCAGGGCGCGGAGGTGCGCGGTGCTGAGCGCCCCGAAACGGCGCGGGGAGCCGGGCGGCGCCGGGGGCCGAGACATGGACGGGCACGGAGCGGGACACCCCCCACCCCCCCCCCCCCCGCGGCACCGAGAGCCCCACGCCCGCCCCGGCCCCGCCCCGGCGGCCTTAAAGCAGCCGCAGTTCAGCACAAGGCGCTCCGGTGCTGCACCGCCCCGCCCCCAGCTGAGGGCGGGGACTGTCAATGCTCCCCGCTCTGTGCATCCTGCACCCCGCTCTGTGCATCCTGCTCCCCGCTCTGTGCATCCTGCTCCCCGCTCTGTGCAGCCTGCACCCCGCTCTGTGCATCCTGCTCCCCGCTCTGTGCATCCTGCTCCCCGCTCTGTGCATCCTGCACCCCGCTCTGTGCATCCTGCTCCCCGCTCTGTGCATCCTGCACCCCGCTCTGTGCAGCCTGCACCCCGCTCTGTGCATCCTGCACCCCGCTCTGTGCATCCTGCTCCCCGCTCCGTGTACCTCGAGCGTACCCTGCACCCCGCTTCGTGCATCCTGCACCTCCGTGCACGTGTTCTGCGCTGCACCACGCTGTGTTGCAGCCTGCACTGCGCTGTGCGTGCCCTGCAGTGCACCGCACCGTCTGCGTCCCGTTTGTCACCGCATTGGCCTCACCCTGTACTTCACGGCACTGCACTTGTGCGTCTTGTAAACACCCAGGCACCGCTGTACCCATCGGTTCGTGAGAGAGGAAAGAGAGAACAGTGAGGACCCTGTCACTACCAGTTCTGCGCGGGTCTGCTTCATCCCCTGGGGAAGGGGTACGCAGGAGCGCTGCCCCACATGTGATGGGGAACTGCTCGCCACAGGGTGTTGTGGTCACTAAATGTCTCCAGGGATTCAGAGACCTAAACAAAAAAATCAGGGATCAGAAACCTGTGTAAGGACCATCAGCTCCGCTTCAGGACGTCTCTGTGCTGGAAACTCTCTTTGTATCTTTGCCCTGTTCTTACTCTTGCAGTAAAAGATGTGGTGGAGAAGCTGGTGAAAAGTAGCAAACTAGGACCTCATGGGAGGTGGGAGTTGCTTACTGGGGAAGTTTCACCTTAGTGAAGAACCATGGCTGCAAGGAAAGCCACGCATTGCTGCTGGAGCGGGGACTGTTCTGTCCTGGCCGGGACATTTCTAGGGAGCAAATAGATGGTGGGAGACAGCATTTAATGTCCACTGCTTGACTTTTGGTGTCACCTCAAACCAACACCGGCTGCTGGACCTGAGTGAAGGGAAACTGCTAGGGAGCTGCTGGGGGCTGGAGGTCACTGCTGTTGGGTGGCCAAGGGACCAGCAGGATTTAGGAAGTATTTGGATGGGTAGCTTGGAATAAGGAGCTGTGTGGAGCTGGTGCTGTTGTAGGAGAGATGAGAACCTGTCTGTGCACTGGGACATGCTGTGGTAGAGGAACAAGATGGCAGTGCAGAGACACCCACTCGCTGAGCCCATCCTCCTGGGCTGGTGGGTGCCAGCTCTGTTGTACTGTGAGGCTATTTTATGATGCTCTCCTGCCTCTGCTGGCCTGCGTTTCTCTACTGCCTTTGGAGAGCCCTAACAGAAGACAGCACTGCTGGGACGAGGGTCATTTGCTCCTTAGTCTGGCAGTGCAAATGCAACTCCAATTTTGCCTGTCACTTGGAAACCCTAGAGGCCCAGGAGCTGCAGCAGTGTCTTTTCATAGTCAGCCCAGTGCCACCTGATGTCATTGAGTTTACTGACTTTGGAAGCCAAATCCACTCTGGGGGCACCAGGGCTGGGGTGGGGGCACCTTTCTGACAGCCATCCTCCACCTGCTGCTACCATCTCGTGTCCCTGGTACAGGAGAGCATCTGTTCCAGCCAATGTCAAGTCAGTCATGGAGCTGCTCTGTGACTCCCCTCCCTGTGCTCTGGTGCCCATTGCAAGGCAGGCACGGGCTGTACTCTGAGGTCCCACCAGTCCTCAGTGCTCTGGTTTGGGGCAGCTCTGGTTTGCCAGAGGCTCTCAGGAGAGTGAGTGCAGCTTGCTTCACCTGAGAGCTGCTTTCAGTAGAAGTAGTCCCGAGCTCTCTTTTTCCTAGACATCACTCAGACTGCCCCCATGCTCTGCAGTGCTGAGGGCAGTTCTCTGGAGCAGTGCAAGGTACTTTCTGGCTCGGAGATCCTCCACTGCTCATTTCTTTCAGTATTTTCTAATTTCTCAAACCTTTCTGGATGGTCCTAGTGGGTACTCAGCTCTGCAGCTGGCAGGCAAGGGATGGGTTTTCCCTTAGCTGTTTGTCCTGGAAGTAGAACTTGCTGCTGTTGCTGTGCTGCCCTTAGACAAAGCCAGAAATAGTTTGTGAAGTTGAAAGTGCTTCTCAAACAGTCTGTCCCAGCAGTGCCAGAGTGTTGTGGGGTGCAAGAGCTGTAGGGACCTTGTCTTGCAGACTCACAGCATCAGCTCTGTCTGCAATTTTCTTGGCAAAGGTTCATCTGAATTGGTCTCAGAAACTTGGATATGGTGAGCCCATTTCTGTAATGAGCTCTTCCCCCGTTAATGTCTCTTAACTCAGGTGCTTCCTAACACCTCATCTACTTCCCTTTTGCTTCCATTTAAGTTCACTGCTTCTCAGTCACAGCAGACAGATCTACTGATGACTTTGAAATCGTATTTCTGCAGGATCAAAACATGACTGTGCAGACAGACAGGCAGTGAGGAACAAACCCTGACAGATGCAGCCTCCCAGCAGGGGCAGGACCTTGGCACCAGGACATTGCCACAGCTTTTGACCTTGAGCTGCGAACATGGTGATGATGTGGGAAGAGTTCTCCCATGTGACAAGTCCCTTCTGAACCCTACCATGCAGACCACAGGTCCTTTATCTCAGTGTAGCTAGATTTAATTTTCTTACATCCATTCATGTGATTTCTTACATACATTCCATCCATTCCACTCAAGGCTTTTTCCTTCCACAAGCCCCAAGACTCCAGTCCTAGCACCTGACATGGGATTTCTTGTCTCAGTGGGACCACCTCAGAGATACAAACCAGACATTCATTAATGGAGAATGAACTCAAGGAAGCAAATTTATTGGGATGCTTTCTCAGACACTACAGGGAGGCACAGAGAGTATGGAAATTTGTGGCACGTAACTTGTTTGCTTGATATGAGTTCTAGAGGCAGCTAAGAAACTCTGATGAAAAGTCACTCCAGGGCTGAGTGTCTTTCTCCCACAGGGAAGGTACATTTGGAATCCACAAATTTCACAAGCGATTTTAAAATTCTTGATTATGAACAGAGTAACAAGGAATCATCAGCAAGCACAGAGGGAAAGAGCTGAGCAGAGGGAGAGCCTGCACTCAGAGGGGGAGATTGGAAAGTGTCATTTCACTAAAACCCTACTACCATTGGGCTTCTCTTTCTGCTCCAGAAAGGCTCAAGCTCTTTGGCCATGCAGAGCCTTCTCAAAGTGTCCAGTGTGGACAGGAGGGTGAAGGAGCACTAACAATATGGAGCTGGTTTGATAAGGATAAGGGAGGATTTACAGTTCCCTTTGCACAGGCTGCCCCATGTCATGCCACCCTTGAAATTCAGCCGTACAGAATAACACGCTGAGTACCACCACCCACCCTCATAGCTGTAGGCACAGTTCTTACTGTAAGTGTCCTGATCCCGATCCTTTGTGGAGAACTTCATGTTGTCATGCATGGTGGTGGGATTGTCTGATGTCATGGCATCCCCCGCCGTCCCTGTGTAGGAGCCCAGCCTCAGCCGGTAGCCGTGGGACTCATCTTCCACACTAAAGAGGTTGTAGTCTGAGAAATTGATGTTGTCTGTGGAGTCCTGGATGACAAACCTGACCTGGTAGACCTTCTGCTTGGAGATGTGATGGATGTACTCGGTGCCCAGCCAGTACTCAGTGTGCACGTTCCCAAAGCCGTACTTGTAGGTGCTCCAGGACTCGGCCCAGGTGACTGGTGTGTCTTTATGATTCCTCTGGATGACCGTCCAGCCACCGTTTGTCACATTCATTTCACAGAACACCACAAGGTGGTGGAGCCCTTTCGGTTGGATGATGTAGACACCGCTGCGGCTGCCAGCAGGGATCTCACTGCAGTCTTTGGGCCAACCTGGGGCAGCAAACAGAGATGGTTATTAAAACCCACACAGTGAGACACTGAAAGTACCTGATATTTCTTTTGAGCCTATATTTTTCTGCACACACATTCTTGGGCTGTATTCCTGCCATGGGCTTACAGGAGTAAATCAAAATCTTGAAATGATCAACATAAGAGTTGGGTTTCACATCTTCCCAAGGCAGAATTCAAACTGATCGGGACACACTGCCAAAATGTCTTAACCTGATGATACCAAGCCAGACATTGCCTTCACCCAGCACACAATGCACCCCAGTCCAGGTTGGATTCAGCCTTGCAGTGCTGTGGAGATTTGCCTGCAGCATGCAGGTGATGTATCACCACACAGACAAATGCAAACCTGGGTTATAAAGCCATTTGCTGTTACAGCATGGAGTCTGTAGAGCTTTATAGTAATCTCAGAAACCCTGGAGAGAGTGTGATCAAGACATCCATATTGCTAATAATTAAATCAGTCCTTGTGATCTCAATAGGGTAAATCCATTGGTTTTCTCTGGTCTTACCCGAGAAGGTCTTTAGAGACTTCCTGACTTGTTTGATTTGATTATGGCCTTTGCATGCTCCAGACTGTCAGCACCTTATATAGCAAACAGCTGAGTGTACCTACACACTTCTGGGAAGGGACTTGCTCTGTTCCCAGTACTGCTGCTACTGGTTATTTCTACTCAGATAGGACCTAACTTGTGGCCTTGTGGGCTAATGTTGACTCAATCAGTTCAGTAACACAGTCAGTCCCTGTCTTACCCAGTCACCTCACCAACTGTATAGTGAAAATAGGAAAACAGCCAATCACTGCTTCTCAAAGGCCAGTAATGAATCATCGCTTTTCAGTTTGGATCTTTAGGTGGAAAATTCCTTACGCTAAGATCCTCATCAACTACTGAGTCCAGGACATGGCTGGTAATAGAGTCTCCCCGAGGTTGCGAGCTGTGGCACCTCTACAGCCTATCAACATTTTTTCTGGGAGGAGCCAGAGTGCATGTAGGACATGGGCTAAGGTGGCTGAGAGCTCTTCATTAGCCCAGCAATGGTGAAACCTTAGGAGCAGATGTACTTCTTGAGAAAAGACTTACCATGACCTGCTGGTGGGTGGTGGGCAATGTCTCTGACCTGTCGAACATGTTTGCCACCATCATCTGAATTAACAAGAACAGAGGAGACAGGAGTGAGTGTTGAGAGTAGACATGTCAGATGCCTGATGGAAGAACATGATCTTCTCCAGATGATATTACTTTTTTCTGTTGTTGCTCCTAATTCCAGAGGGACGTTACCATTTCAGCTATCAGTCAGTTGGTAGTTCAGGGGAATTTATGTGTTGTTAGAATGGGGCAGTTGCTTTCTTGGTGAGAAGGATTTGGGCACAGTGTATGTGGGAAAGACCCTGAATGGTGGTGGTAATACTGGAAAGACGGTTGTTAAGGTGTACTAGAAGCAGTTAAGAAAGGAGTCAGGAAGAAGAGGGATTAGAGGGGGGAAGAAATGTGAGAACAGGCACAGGGAAACGGGTGCAGGTGTCAGGAGTTGGGAGAGGGGCTCTGCTCAGCTGGGTCAGAAGGGAATTTGAAGGGTGTTGTTGGACAAGAGGATATTTTATTGTGAATTGATGCAGTTATTTTGCAAGGACATCTTCTGTGTATCCACTGGTGGCTATGAAACAGAGGAATTAATCACAAGCCTATGGAATCACAAAAGCCATTCCTGTCCCCTCTCGGAAACAGATGCCTAACCCTGCAACTGCTGCTCTCTAACATCCTCAAATATCTGCTCCCTGCTTTCTCTCTCTGCTGATGCTTTCCTATCCCCTCCCTTATGCAGTGTTTAACTCAAGTCTCTTGCACTGTGTATAAGCCCATTCCTTTTCTTACTACACCCAGAGTACACTTTTTGCTGCAGACAGACTGTAATACTGCTATCACTTCCTACGTGGTCTTCTGATTTTGGGGCTAAACTATCCAGTTCTTCAGCTTTTCCTGATACAGTCTGCCTGCCAGATTTTTGACCCCTTTCCTTTTGACTTTTCCCCTTTCCTCTCCAAATGTGTCTTGAGGTTGGTTGGCCTGAGCCTGTGTGGAGTGGGAAACACTCATGTAAGGGGGTCTAGAGGACTTTCCTACTATGGTATTTACTTTTACTACAGCCATATGAAGTTGTTCACTCATGTTTGTTTTGTAAGCCACAGTCTGCCCCTGCTCCTTTCTGGCTTCACTTCCCATCCGTTTGGAAGCACTCCTCCACAAAGTCAAGATTTCCGAATGTTAGCCTGTCTTCTCTGGCATGCCTCCCCACTTACCCATCTTGCATTCATGCTGCTCATATTTTCAGAGCACTTACCAGTAGTCTGGGTGAGAAATGAGTGTGAAGCCCAGAGCACACCCCGTTTCTATACTCAGACTTCTAGTTCTTGGTGGAGCCAAAGCTCTTGTCTCAGTCATGGGTGCTCCCTGTGTTGGCAGTTTCCTAACTTTTGCAGTGAAGGCTGATGTGAAACTAGCATCAAAGACTTGGATCTTGAGTTCTGCCAAGAACTCTTCCTCCTCCCTTGGAAGGGAACCAGACCTTTCTGTCACGTCATGTCTTATCCCACCTACAGACCCCAGTTTTATTCCAGGAGCATTTCCTGGAGACTTCCTCATTGCTCTAATATACCCTGGTATTTGTAGGTTACTCTGTACCATCACTTGACTGATTGCTCTGTGTCAGTGCCATGGCTTAGACTGTATTAACTTAATTTAGTTCCTCTTTGTATTCACTTCTTTCTTGAATTCAGTTGTCCACTGACCTTGTGATTTCCAGAGATGACTACTGTTCTCTATGTCCTCAAAATACACTGTGATTGTTTGCCTCAACATCTTTAACACTGCTTCTCCAAGGAAGACTCTGTGGGCCACAAAACCCTTGGCTTGGTTCTTCCTGCCAATGAGACCAAACCTGTGCCACAGGGCACTCTGGGCTTTAGACTATTGGACTCATTTATGGACAGAAGAACTTAATGCCAGGCAGGAGAAGGGACAGGCAGAAAGCAGAGGAGTCTGAGATGATTCTTGTTCTAGTAAGACAGCCTATATTGCACTGGCATTGCCCACACATAGACCAGTATTTAGACCTACCTCTGTGTTACAGGGGTGTGGTTAGGCTGGTGAGAACCTTGTAGGATCTGACTGGATGTGACCTTGTTTGCCTCTCCATATTGTAGTGGTATACTTACCAAGCTGGGAGGACTCTGGGGGAATATTCATAATTTCATCCAGCGTGCCATTGAGGAGATACAAATTTTTTATGTCTAAGGCAGGAAGAGATGCTGCCAGGGCCAGCAGGCAGGTGAAAAGCAGGAGACAAAAGCACTGGGTAGCTGAAATGAGAGGAGATTAGAAAAAGAAGAAAGATCATAACTCTTCCATCAGAGAGCCGTGAGTCCAATTTGACTCCTTTACTTGCAGAGCAAAACAGGAAAATAGAATTCATTATGTGTAGAGCTCCCTCTTGGAGCTATATGCCCCAGTTCACTCACTTAGAAGAGCTGTCATATACTCCTTGGCAAGAGTCAGTAGTGGTGGCACCTGCTGTTGGTGGTTTTTGAGAGAAGTGCAAAAACCTTGTCCAAACCCAAAGTGACTGCAATCAGAAATTCCTATAAAGAACAAGTCTCGGGACTGGAGATAACAAGCAGGGTAAGCATGGAGGGAGGAATCCCGTTTCCTCCCAACTCCCATTACGCTCCCATGACACACTCACATGGTGTAAACTGGGGCTACACCTGCCTCCAGTCCAGGTTTGTGGGCAGTGAGAACCCAGATGTGTGGGTGGGAGCAAGCCCCAGGCAGGGCCGTGTGTATTTCTCTGCTCTAAATGAAAGCAGCATGACTGAGAGGGGCAGCACAAACTCTTAGGAATTACTGCCTGGCTGGTGGAAATGGTATCATTTATATGGTTATATGGTTACTTCAGAATTTCCATATGTAGCCAGCAGCTCTGGTTTGTTCTTGCTCAGAGCAACTAGAGAAACCAGCACACTTTTTGCAATATTAAATCTAAATAAAATACTAGGAAGTTTGTCATGATTCCTAGAGAGTGGGGCATTGTGGAGACACTTGCCCATAGAGAAATCTGTTCATGATACGATAGCTGTAGCTCACTGGCAGATGATCAATGTGATCCCTCCACTGTTCAAAAAGGAGCAAAGCCAAACTTATTGCACTGCCCCAGGATACCTGAGTTTGGCACTGTTCCCTGAGATGACTGAGAAGGAAAATGATCAGTGATGCCAGCTTGGAACTGCTGCGTGTGATTGCAGCCACTCTAGAGACAAGCACCCCTTTCTGGGAATGCTCAGAGCTGTCACTGATCATTTGTGCTGCTTACAGTTTTACATCAAAGGCCTTCCAAACACACTTCAGTCCAACTGATTTGCTTCTCAATTCCTACATAACATTTAGTGTCTTGATACACTTCTATTCAGAGTTATGTTTAAAGACATCTCTTCTTTATGCCACCAGAGAAGCAATGTTCCCTCCACTGCTGGCCCATTCCCCCATGAATGGTCATGAGAGGTCTGAATAAGAAGGAGATACAGGGGAGAGGATCGGCCTCTCCTGCGTATTCTTCTGGGGACAGCAGTGTGCTTTCGAGCATCTAACCTCCAGATCTTGATACCTGTTCAATATCAATCCTTAAGCAAGAATATATGAAAAATCCGTTTTCTATTCTAGGGTAACTAATACTTTCCTTGGAGAACTGAAAATTACAAAGGATGTTTGATAAATATAAGGCTTGTAAAATGGGCTATCTGGCATGCCAGGGCTACACTGACACAGCCTGAAAATAGCAGAACATGCAGGCTCCTTCTTCAGGTTACAGCCCAGGGCACAGTGAGCCCAGACAAGGTAATGGACTTAGCGCTGGGATGGCAAGGGTGTGAGGAGGAGGGAGCCCTGCAGAAGACAAAGTGCTGAGATGCCCTGTGACTCACAGCCACATGCAGCGGTGCTATCCCCTCCCACACCATCCCATCCCATCCCATCCCATCCCATCCCACCCCATCCCACACTCACCCATGCCGTTTCTGCGAGGACCCTGTGGAGCAGGAAGCCAAGTGGTTTTGGCCTGACTGGAGAGGTGTCCAGCCTGAAAGTTATAGGGCTCAGCAAGTGAGGGGGTGGAGGCACAAGACCCAAACCACAGCACTTGTCCTCTGATTGGCAGCAGGACTAGTGGTTTACGGATTATTTGCTCTTTAACATTAAATCATATGTCCTCAGACGATGAAAGCTGTGTCTCACAAAGGTGAAGAGCTTTCTTCAAAGGCAAAGCAAATAATTTGGTGCCAATAAGTGAATGCCTTAAAACAACTGTGATTTACAGTGCCTGCCTGCCCTCCTGCCCTGGCAGAGTTTCCCCAGGGAACCGGCATCCTCTGGGCACCTCTGCCCATTTCAATTTGTAAGTTGAAATGTCACACACAGGTGACATTCCCACTCCTGGACAGAAATTAAACATCAGACGTAAATCATTCTCTCCAGAGCAGGCAACAAGCCCAACAGCCACTGGGGACCCCACTAGACCCTTCAGGAAAGAGGTACTCTAGTGTTCCTGGCAAATTGTGCACCAAACTTCAGAAAGTGCCGCTCCAGGTACCTCCTGACGTGCCTGGCCTGCCACCACCACTCTGACTCTTGTGTAATGTGCACTGTGATCTCCCCTGGCACTGTGACCCTTGCAGCAGTCACAAAGGAGTTTTAAGAATCATGGCATGACACTGATGTAAAATGGTCTCACTTCAAGCTCCGTTCTGCTACCAGGAGTGCTTACACCATGGATTTCTTACAGAAAATGACAGACCATTCTTTTCTTAGGGACTGATACCCTTAGTATTCTCAGTTATGCAGACTCCTGTACCCCAGCATCCACCTTGTGCTGGACAGCACAAGATGGCCAGAGCCTTTGAGGGAGCAGGCTGGGTTTTTATCATTGGCTATTTGCTTGCAGCCTGGCAGCCTGGTCCTGGAGGCTCCTGTGCACACCCTGCTGTGCTGCTGCTTCTGCTCAAACAGCACATGCAAGCAAAAGCAGGCAGCAACCCTCATCAGTGCTTCACCAACAGCTTCCAGCCCCCAGCCAGCTTTTCTAGGAGGATGTGGTTAGGATGTGCAAAGCGGGCAGGGACAAGGTCATAGAGGGGATTTCTCTGAAACCCCAGCTGTGTCCTCCGGCCTAACACCTGCTTGGTATATGTTTGATATTGAAAGAGCCATGGTCATGGCACAGATCTCTTGATTGCTGCATCCTGAGCTTCATCTGGAAAAATGCAATCAGGAGGGTGAGGGAAGGGATTATTCACTTTTACGTGTGAGACAACAGTTGGAGTGTTGTGTCCTGTGTAGGGCTTCTCCATGCACAACAGTGAGTAAAACTTGAGACATATGTGGACAGGTTGAGAAAGATGGGCTTGTTCAGCCTGAAGAAAGAAAGGCTAAGATGGGATCTTGTTGCTGCCTACACCTACCTGGTGGGAGAGTGGAGAGCAGATGGAGTCAGACTCCTCATTTTTGGACTTTCAGACCCTTCATTACAAGAAACATATTGACAGACTGGAGCAAGTTCAGTGGAGACCTCCGGGTCAGGGGCCTGGAGCTCAGGATGTGTCAGGAGAATCTGGGAGAACTAGGCTTGCTTCACCTGGACAAGAGCAAGCAACAGGGAGGTCTTATTGCTGACTACAACTGTCTCATGCGAGGATACAGAGGACATGGAGCCAGGCTGTCCAAGGAGGTGCATGGTGGTGGGATGGGAAGCAATGGATCTAAGTTGGAACATGGAAATTCCATTTAGCAATAGGGACTTCTTTTAACATGAGGTTGGTAAAATACTGGAACAGGTGTCCAGAGAGAGTCTGTGGGATTTCTGTCCTTAAAGGTGTTCAAGACTTGACTGGACAATGACCTGATTTTTTTAGATCCATTTTGAGCAGGAATTGGACTATATGGCCCCCAGATGTCCCTCCCTGCCTAAATTAATCTATCACCCTGTGATTCTATGACTCTCCTTGGGGGTGCACAGGGATAGGATAAGAGACAGGGGACATAAGGGAAGGGAGGGAAATTAGAATTAGATAAAAACAATTTCAGCCTGAAGGTGTTCAAAGACTGGAAAAAAAAAAAAAAAAAGAGAGAGAGAGAGAGAAGTTGTGGGACCTCCATTCCTTGACATATTCATGACTAACTCAGATATGACCCTAAGCAACTCATTCTAAATTGTCCCTGCTTTGGTCTCAAGATCAGATCAGAGACATTCAGAGGTCCTCCTGTTCTTGGTTACTCTGTGTTTCTCCGGTTCTCTGAAGAGCCCGCTCCCTTGCCCCTATGCCTCTGTATTTCTGCAGGAGCTCGGTCATGGTGCCAGCCTTTGCACAAGATTCAGAGCTGGCCACAGCAGAACGTGCCTTGAGAAGCCATTTTGTAAGCCCAAAGACCTATGGCAAAAGCCTGAGGGCCTGTGGAGCATGGGAGACCTGTACAGCCAGCCACGCCAGCGGGATTTGCTCTTTCAGGTTTAACTGCTACTATCACAGCCCTGGATGCACCAGTAGGTCTCGATGGCTGGTGACCAGTCCCACCTGGGACCTTCCCCTGGGCCCATGATGCCTGTTACACTTCAGCCCTGGGCCTTCAGTCCTAACCTGAGCCACACTGCATGAGTACTGGCCTCCAGTTCCCTCTCTGGCCTTATTTTCTGAATGGATCTTAGAACTACACTGTAGGTAGCTCGTTTCCTGAACGGACCACTCAGATCCATGTGGTAGCTTATCTCCAGCCCTGCCTTTTGCACTGTGTCCTTTTGTCCAGGATCTCGGACCCAGCTGACTGCTTGCCTTGCCTGGAGCATTGCCAACACTCAGCTCTGCCTGCTGTGCTCAGGCCCAGCAGGACAGAGCCCTGCTAGCACGGGCACTGCCTCCTCAGGGTGCACTCTGGGCTTCTACCTGCCCGTGGGGAGCAGCCAGCCTTTGCTGCTCCCAGAGAGCTTGCTCATACCTTTGTTCTCCTCCCTTGAGTGCTGTATGGTGCCCCCTGTTCTGCCTCTCTGGAATGCAACCACTGGTTGTTATCCTCAGCTCTGCTTCCAACCTATATCTGCTCAGCGGTCCTCTTGCAGCTGTCTTCTTAGAAAGAGGTCCCACGTCAGCATGATTTTGAAAAGCTTTATTTCGTAACTTTGAGGACATCATCCACTGGAATGTTTGAGCTAAATTCAAAACAGGGGTCTCTACTGGACTGTAGGTGAGCTGTCCTGTTGACATACTGCTTTTCTGAAGGAAATACTGTTTGCATTTGGAGCAGCCCAGTGGAGTCTCATGTACACAGGGGCAGGGGAGGACTTCCTCTCCATGACCTGTGGGACCCATGTTCCTGATGCATCTGGGAGCCCTGTTGCCAGCAGTGATCCCAGTGGTAGCTCACCAGCAGCAGCCTGCTTGCCAGTCCTGGCACAGGCAACCCACACGCCCTGAAGCATTGCATTGCCCAGTGCTGGCATTAGCTCTGCAGGCAGCCTGTGGGAGCCCCTAAGTCACCCACTTGCCTTGCCCCCACAGAAAGGAGACATGGCCCTTCTTGCCTAGGGTCTTTCTTCCAAAGGCAGCTTGGGCCCTTCTCCCTCCATAGACTTGGGAGTGCTGCTTTTATGATTCTCCCAAACAAAATGAGGCTTCTGACAAGGGCCTCCAACCTCTAACCAAGCAAACAGGGGTGAGATCTAAGGGTTCAGGTCGAGGTTGATCCAGGGATCCCTTACCTTGGAGAAATCTGTATGCCACTGTCCATCCAGACCTTCAAGTTGCACTGCTTGATGTGGGCTCCTGCAGTACAGAAGGCTTGGTGGGAGCCTCAGCTTGACACTGGCTTACTGTGAAGCCAAGGTTTAAAGATGTGCCATGAAGAACACATCTGGTCAGTAGGCTACTGAAACCAACACAGGACAAGAAAGTAGAAGGGCCACATCTTTATCCTCTTAAAATTGGCTTGACAAAGTGATGGAGCTGTCTGCACTTTCTCACATGAAGAACAGCCCTCACAACCAACCTGTCCTGAGAGCATTTTGCTCCTGTAAAGCAGGAGCAACCCGTGGTCAACATTTCTGGGTCTGGGGGGAATCTGCATGGTACTCACCAGGCCAAAGACAGGGATTGGGAAGAAGAGGGGCAAAGAGACCCATAGGCACCTCTTTGTTGCCTGGAACCCTTGCCCTCTACTCAGGGCATGCATATTGGGGTGCCAGGGGACACTGTGCATATAGTGACTTCTGGCTGCTAGACACTGGTTCCAGCCCAATGACTTAAATCATTGATCCTGAAACCTGCCACTGGAGAGTTAGCAAGCAGGCATGTCTCTTGAGGACCTCTCCTCATATTTCCAAGGTCACCTTTGGGACTGAGCACATTGGAGACCTATCTCTCCTTCTTTGATAGTTTCTGTGTGTATGTCCTTAAAAAGCTGTGGGTCTCCACTTCAGTTTGATCATGGCTCTCCAGAATCTGCTCCAAGTGGGCAATTCACATGTAGTGTTTGTGTGACTGGAAGAGTCAATAATTGAAATCCCTCAACATGGAGGGGATTATTTTGTACTTCTCTAGCTGGAAGGACGTGCCTTTCTCCCCTCAGGGGGTTTAGTTATGCTGTCATGGGATCTGAAAACTGCTTGAGTCACAAACTGCAAGTGCCTCCTTGTGCCTCTACAAATAACAAACGTGAACAAAAGTGGGTGTGTGCAGTGCCTATAAAGCCACCATGGAAAGCTTGCCATAGGAGGGTGCACCACTGTGTTCCTGATCTCTGCTCAGCCGTGCTGTTGTGATGGGTGAGTTATTGTCCCAGTGGCACACTTCATTCATGTGTGGTGCTGGGCTCAAACAAGACCTGACTGGGGTGAGTATCAAAGGCACAAGATGATTAGCAAGACAGTAGCCTGTGTGATGGATGCTGCCAGGCACTCTGGTAGCAGAAGGAATGCAAGACCAAAGCACCAAATGACAGATGTGCCTGGTGCCAGCCTACGCTTTCGCAGGCTGCCTATGCTCTGTATTCCCACATCCTGAGGGGAGGTTAATGTGGAGACCTAGATTTCAACTTGATTCTTTCCCCTCCTGACCAATGCATGTGGAACATGTGGTTGCAGAGGGGTCCTTGCCCAGGCGTGATGGCAGCTCCCCCAGTAACTGAGCTAGTGCAGGGTGTAGGGGTGTGCTGGTGGCCAGCACAGAGGGTTTGGGCTTGTGTTACTGTGTGGGCCCAGGAGACGTCCTCCTGTCTGCTTGGGAGCTTGTATCTGTGCAACAGGACCCATCCCTTGGATCTGGTTTCCCACTAGCTGTTATTGGGCTGGAGTGGCTTCTATAAAAGGTTTAAGCATGATTACTTCAAAAAGAACTGTTTCTTGTGATCTCTCCCCCCCCCGAAAACTACTCTCCCCAGGTCTAGCTGTGTCACTGTCCTCTCTTTAAACTACTCTTGGGCTGTAGGTTCTGAAAACAGATCTACAGTCAGATTGCTGCCTGTTGCAGGCAAGGGGCTGATCAGGAGGGTGACAAAGCCATTTCTCACCTTACTTCAGCCCTGCCGAGGCAGACCCTGCCCAAAGCTGCAGCTCTCACCACCCCGGGAGCCCCCCGCTCCTGCCTGCACCCTGCGGCTCTGCCTGCCCTGGTCCGAGCTCCCCAGGGGCCATCAGTAGGGCCAGAGGAGGCTGCCCAGGGATCCTAATGGTGCTGGGCCCTTTCCTCCCCAGGGCTCCAGGCTGGGACAAGTTTGCTCCATGGGGACCTTGTCCTCCTACCCACAGTGGTGACGATGCTTCTCCTCTGCGTGAACGCTGGCCCAGCTGTACCCACTGCCAGCTCCCGGAGTGGTGAGTATGGAGTGAGTGGGGGACACCGGCTGGCAGCAAGGTGCAGAGCAGGAAAGTATCTCCCTAGCTCAGCACTGACTCTCATGTCTGCTAACTACTAGGAAGGTCAGCATGCACTCAGACTGATGCACAACACAAGAACTCCTCACACACACAAACCCCTGGGCCATGGCTTGTAAAATAAGCAGCCTGACACCTGTCAAGCCATCCTCACTCCCTTGGTGGCTCCATGCTGAAACCAAGGAGTTTCTGCCCAAGCACCATAATTTGGCAGAACTACTTTGCAGTACTCCTGTATTTTTACACTTCAGTTCTTGGAGGAATCCTCCCAGCAATTTTATTTTTTCTTAGCTCTTGTTGGATTAGGAGTATTCCCTTCTTCCCTGCAAGGGTAGTTACACTCCCTTGCAAGACCTAGATGGCCAACAGAATTTCATGGGCTGAACTGGAATTACCAACAGTAAATTCTTTGTCATCAGACACAAAACAAGAAAAATTAATTAGACAGCAAATTAGTTTGGCAAGTAAGTCATGACAGATCAGTCCTGCTAACAGATAAACTGCAACAAGCTGGGGGAAGAGATCCTTGTGAGATCAAGATAGAACTTAGACTTCTTTTGCAATGACATGACCCCCAGAGAAAATATAAATTTTCATTACATATCCTCATCCATTAGAGCATTTTGTACACTTCTGATCCTTGCAAGAGCTGCATGCCAATATATCAAGGGCTTTGTGTGAGGGCCAGATATACTTGTAGGGCATCACTGGCATCTGGAACACTTTTTTCCCCTCTCTTCTTGGCCAGATGCATTAGAAGGCTCCAAATGAAATAACAAGTCATGAGAAATAGATCCTAGGGCTCTCATCAGGGCCACTGTCTTAGAGACCTTTGGTTGCCCTGTTGATGAGCCAGTGAAAACGCCACTCTACATTGTGAAGTAGACTGCAGATAAACCCAGCACTTTTTGTCCCGAGTCCTCACACACCTACAGGAGCTCCCTGTTGCCCTGACAGACTCATCTGATCTTTCTCTCTCTCACCCCAAACTGTGTTTGCCACTGCTGCTGTCACAGGGTTCCCTGCAGACTGCAGCCATCTCCACAAGACCAGCCCCAGCGGGGTGTATGTCATCCAGCCGGCACGGTCACCTCCACGCGTGGTGTGGTGCGACATGGACACCGAAGGCAAGGGCTGGACTGTTGTCCAGAGAAACTCTCATGACACTGAGATTACGTGGAAGCAATCCTGGACCACCTACAAGTACGGCTTTGGGAACGTGCAGGGCGATCACTGGCTGGGCACCGAGTACCTGCACCTGCTGACACAGCAGGGCACCTACAAGGTCCGCTTCATCGTGCGGAATAAAGCCAATGTCACCCACTATGCCGAGTATGACATCTTCAGGGTGGAGAGCGAGGCTAGAGGGTACCCGCTGAGGCTGGGCCGGTTTTCTGGTGATGGGGATGACTATCTGACCAGCTATCACCCCAAGAAGGGAGGCATACATGACAACATGAAGTTCAGCACGACTGACAGGGACCAGGACCAGTACAGTGGGAACTGTGCCAACAGCTACGGGGGCTGGTGGTACGACAAGTGCCAGAACGTCCTGCTCAATGCCAAAACCCACATCCTCTGGCCAGGATTCTGCGATAATGGTGACTGCACATCCTCCCTCATCCTGGTCAAACCCACAGATGTGTGTTGACCATGCCACAGCGCCCAGCCTCCTGGGAGTTTGGGGAAATGCCACCGTCCCCAGCTCAGTGCCCCGTTCCCGTGCCTGCCAACAGCCCTGTGCCAGTCCCAGTGCACATCCTGCGCTGCCTGCAGGTCCTGCACCATCACCAGCAGAAACACCGCAGCTCTGGGGCTCAGGAGCAATTGCCTGGAGTCCCAGGCGTCTGGGCAGCTTCGCCCAGTGCCACGGTACTGGCCGGCACTGGAACACGGGCACTGGTATGGGGTGGGTGCACCCACTCCTGTCCTGGGGAAGGGGGGAGACAGTGCAGTTTCCCTTCCCTGTGCAATCGGTGTATCCCTGCTTTGCTCAGACCCCATACGCCCCACAGCTCTGCTACCCACGGTGGGAGAAATCAGCTGCAATAAACCCTGGAGCCAGACTTTGCTGCCTTGTGTCTACCTGCTGCTGTGATAGTGTACATAAGTGTGTGGGATCACTCTGTCCAGTCTCTGGGGTGATGGACATGGGGGAAGGTAGGTGTCACACGCAGGTCCTCTCCTGAGCAAGGAGACACACCTGCCCAAGGGATGCCAGATCTCCCTGGGACATGCAGAACTCACCTCCCCCAGGGCTGGTATGGTGGCTGCTGGCTTCAAGGTGATATGCTCAGGCAGTGCTGGGCCAAGTCAGCCATGGATCTGATTCTGCTCCCAGACTGAGCTGGTGCAGAGCTGGTGTGGCATGCAGGGGTTTTGTTTTCCTTTTTTTTTTTTTTTTTTTTTTTCCTGAAATATTTCAGTGTTCCATAGTGAAAGGCCTGACATCAACTCTCCCCACTGCTGATTGTCCCCAGCATCAGCCTGTAACATGAGCTTTTCTCCTGGTTGTTGTACACAGCTGAGCACAGCTGTTGCACCTAATTCTGTCTGTGGTTTGGTTCTCAGGTCTCTAGACACAATATTGCTTCCAATGGCTTGTTCCAGTCACTGTGCATTAGGCTGTGGCTGTAAGGCTACAATTAGCCAGCAGGCCAAGTATCTTGCAAAACCTTTGTTCATAGTTTGTCCCTGTCCTTGGCTGGGTGCTGGCTCTATGTTGGGAAAGGGAAGAAGGGACAATACGACAATGGGTTGGGGTGTGGAGAGAGCGGTGGGCTCCCTGAGGGCATGAGAGATGCAGGTAAGTCAGTCCCATTGTACTCTGCTGCAGAGGGGGGAATGTGGCTATGGATGTCCTTTGCAAAGGAGGGAAGTTTGAACTTAGGGCTTGAAATAAGCCACTGTTCCTCTCTTCTGTCTTTGGAAGAAAAGCTGACCTCAGGGAAGGCTTGTGGCTTGAATCCTGAACAATTTGGAACTCTCAGGCAAAGATCCATGACTGAGGTCCCAGGGGGGCCCCCAGATCTATGGCAGTGCTGTGTTCCTGAAGAGGCTGCACAGCCTTGGCTGCCCTGGGGGCACCTGTGGGCCTGCAGCCCTGATGCACAAGGATATGAAGGTATGAGGGTGCTGCTGGTTGAGAAAGACTACCCAGTTTGAGCTGACTTGAGAATATCATTTCTGGATTGAGAGATATGTCTGCTGGTTTAAAATGTCATCTGCACTCCAGCCTGGATGTACAGCCTAACTGGGAGAGGCTTGTCAGAAAAAGGACTTAGGGTTCCTGGTAAACAGCCATTTACCCAGGAGTCAGCAATGCACCCTTGCAGCGTTGAAGGTGAACTGCATTCTGAGGTGTATTAGCAAGAGTGCAGCCAGCAAGATATCAGTCCGCTCTGCTCAGCGCTGGGAGACCACATCACAGGTACCGTATGCACTGTTGAGCTATCCAGTGCACAGAGATATCACCACGCTCGGGCAAGTGCATATGGACCTCTTGAAATTCTGGGATCCCTGCCATGTCAGGCTGCCTCAGCTCTTAAAGCTGCCCCAGATATCCCAATCATTCAATGCTGTGTGGTTTTGCAGTGCTGTTATCCCTTTCTTCCCTGTCCATTCTTCCAAGGCCTGAGCCAGCCTTCACAAATTTAACAAGGCAGGATGACGCAGGGCTGGCCTGCTGTCTCTGGTTAGCTCCAGGTCATGACTGGTGGCGCTGAACTGAGCTGATGCTTCTCTCCTACCCTCAGTGCTTCCTCTTGGTGATGTGGTACTGCATTCCCTTTTTGCAAGAGCCTCACCTTGAAACCCAACTCCCTTCTTTAAGTGAAAGTTCTGTCTTTAATTCCTCATTTGAGTCTTATGAAAAATTTTCCCTTTGAAAGTCTTCTTACTGCACCAGAATCCTCAGGTTTACTCCTGGCAAGAAACAGGCAGCAGTTTCAAGTTCCCAAACAAATGAGGGACATTTTCACATGTCTGTGGAGGTTCTGAAAGCAATTTTATTCCGTAGGATGAACAGAGACTACAGCAGGGATATAGTTGTCCTGGGTTGAGTGAGTGGTGGGGTTTTTTTGGTAGCAGGGGAGGGGGCTATAGGAGCAGCCCCCTGTGAGAAGCTTCTTGAAGCTCCCCCAGCTCCAAGTCAGCTCCACCTCTGTCTGGAAAACTGGGCCAATCAGCTGCACCTCTGCGATAACGTATTTAAGAAGGGACGTGGTGACTTGCAGTTGGACTTGTGAGGAGGAGTTGCTGCAGCTGTGTGAACACCAAGGTCATTGGAGGAACGGAGGAAGAAAGGAGGGGGGAGGTGTCCCAGAGCAGAGACCCCCCTGTATCCTGTGGTGAGATGGCAGGGCTGCCCCTCCTGCCATTCATGAAGATCTATGGTGGAGGAGACACTGATTTATGGCCTGTGGTTTCCGCCTGATTGATCAAGGTGCTGTGCCCAAAGAAGGCCAGGGTCTTGTGGGAAAAGGTAGCCCCGCTGCTGTAATTCAGCACTGGGAGGATTGCAGCATGTGGGGTGTCCCACACTGGAGCAGCTCGGGAAGGGCTGCAGCCGTGGGAGGGAATCCAGTCGGAGAAAAGTTAGTGACCCATGACAGAGCAGTGTGTGGAATGCTGCAGCCCGTGAGAGGGACTCATGTCGGAGAAAGTTTGTGGACGACTGTCTGCTGTGAGAGGGGGACCACGTTCCAGAAGCTCCCCCCACCGAAGATGGAAGAAGAGGCAGCACTGACTGCACACACCCCCCCCCCCCCCCCCCATTCCCTGCCCCTGCGCCGCTGGGGGAGGAGGTAGAGATATCGGGAGCAGAGCTGAGCCCGGGAGGAAGGGAGGGGTGGGGGGAAGGTGTTCTCAAGTTGTGGCAATGCTTCTCACTGTCCTACTCTGTTACATGTTGTTAGTGTCTGTAATAAATGTATGTTCTTTTTTTTTTTTTTTTCCCCCTAATGAGTCTGACTTTTGCTTGTGACCATAAAGGGTGATTTTCCCCCATCCCAGTCCTATCTCAAACCCCAAGCCTGGCTCTCTGTCCTTTCTTATTGCTGGAAGAGAAGGGAGAGAGAGTGGCTGCATGGTGTTTGGCTGTCGATCAGGCTCAAACCACAATAGTGCATACATGGCCAGCCTGGGCTCAGAGCAGCTTAGATCAGATTAACTAGCGATGACTGGTATTTTTCTGCTGAAATCATCTCTACCCTCAAAACAAAAATAGAATGAGACCTTGCTGGACCAGGAGGGTTTTAGGTTTCTGAGCACAGTTTTCTTCCCAGAAGGAACATGCTTGGAAACTGCAGCATTTATAAAGCCTTATTCTAATAATGATCCCTAAAAACCTCCCACAGGTGGAAGGACAGAGACAAAGCAGGGAGCTTTGCTGATTTTCAAGAGAAGAAGAAAAGTAAACAGCTCTTGATATACTTGAATAAAGCTATTCACCCCTCTGCTCCCCAGCCAGCAAACTGGGCCCCAGCAGGGCACTGGTCTGGCCATGTGCCCAGTAAAAGACAGGAGGGGGAAAGAGTACTAATGGTACAGAGCTGGTTTGATGAGGATGGCAGAAGCTTTGCAGTTCCCATTGCACAGGCTGCCCCACGTTATGCTCCCCTTGACATTCAGCCGTACAGAATAACACGCCGAGTACCACCACCCACCCCCAGAGCGGTAGGCACAGTTCCCTCTGTAAGTGTCCTGATCCAGATCTTTTGCAGAGAACTTCATGTTGTTGTGCACATTCCTGGGATTGTCTGAGTCCATGGCATCCCCTGCTGTCCCTGAGTACGCTCCCAGCCTCAGCCGGTAGCCCTGGGACTCATCTTCCACACTGAAGAGGTTGTAGTCGGCGAACTTGGTGGCGTTTGTGGCATCCCAGATGACAAACCTGACCTGGTAGACCTTCTGCTTGGAGATGTGATGGATGTACTCGGTGCCCAGCCAGTACTCGGTGTGCACGTTCCCAAAGCCGTACTTGTAGGTGCTCCAGGACTCGGCCCAGGTGATCTCTGTGCTCTGCCGGTTCCTCTGGATGACCGTCCAGCCCCCGTCTGTCACATTCATCTCGCAGGACACCACGATGGGGTGCAGGCCTGCGGGCTGGATGACGTAGATGCCGCTGGGGCTGCCAGCAGGGATCTCGCTGCAGTCCTTGGGCCAACCTGGGCCAGGAGAGAGGGCGATTTAACAAAAGTCTCTGTAACAGGATAGAACCATGTTTCACCCTGTGGCAGGATAGAGGGACATCTGGCTGGAGTACCTGGGGGATAATCAGCTGTCCCAGCCCATAGTGGTCAACATGCCTGGCTGGAGCTGAGCGTGGGTTGGCCTCAGCCCTCTGTTTCTCTTACATATGGGACACCTAACAAGAGGCAGCCCCAGTGAAAGGTCCCAGATGCACTGGGCTATGCTGGCCAGGAGACTGATATGGACACGAGTGGGCTGCTTTGGGTCTCCTGGAAAAGGGATTACATCACTAAAACAGGATCACACTGGGGAGGAAGGTGAAGAGGACCTTTCCTCTGCCTGTGATTGAGGGAACAGGAGAAAAATGACCCCTTCAAGCACAGACACCCTTACCAGTCTGCACAGTGTGCACACACACACACACACACACATGCACAGCACTGCAGCCTGCATTGGGTACACTTCCTCACATCCACCATCCTCCATTCTGGAGCAGGACCAGCGCTAGGGACAGTGTAGGGCCCTCCCCCACCCAGAGCTGGCTGTATATGAGCACACAGCACTGAATCCCCTTGGTGCTGGCAGGTGTGGTCTCCCCATGCCTTCAGCTGACTTGCTGCAGGACCTTCCACTGCAGTTAAGGTCATCCTGCCAGATGGGCAGAGCTCCTCTCCCCAGCTGAGCAAAGCCTGGGATTGATGCCGTATGTCCCCAGCCCACCTGCTTGTATACATTGTGGAGGTGTTTTTTGGATCTGAGGCATCACAGCACACCTTCTCCCAAGCATCATTTTACCAAGCCTCCACTGACCCAGAGCATGGACTGGGGCTGTTCACCAGCCAGGGCTGACCCAGACCAATGAACTGAAAGGGGTTGGTGAGAGCATGGCAACACCCATAGGATGCTACATACTGGTTTTCTTCAGAGCACTCGCCGAAGTGTTGAAAGGAGATTTCTTGAAGATTTTTAGTGCTTGTATATGCATAGAGTGGCCTGAGGCAGCCAAGACCAGCACAGAAGCAAGGAGTAGAAGGCACAGGGCAGCTAGAAAGGGAAAAGATGGAGAAAATATGAATATGACTCTCCCTCCACAGAGGCAGGAAATCCCATGGCTCCAGCACTACACAATGTAACATGACCATGTGAAATGCAGGAGTGCACCAACCACACTGGGCAGTATCAGACTGGTCCACGCAAGCTGGAAAGCTTGCCAAAAGGCCTTAACTCCTTTGCCTTAGGGGTAGGCAACCTTGCCTTTTCCCCTTCACCAGCTCCCCAAAAGTCATTCATGAAACAGTTTTTGGTGGTGCAAAGCACACAACAACCAACTGAGCCAAGTTTCATTCCTAGCCCCTGAAACAGGGGACTGGCTGGGTGAGCCAGACGGCAGGGCACAAGCTGCAGGTGTTTGAAGGGGTGGAGGGTGAGCATGCTCTCAGAGGGCACTGATGCCACTGCTCCCCATCAGTGTGCAAGGACCAGTGCACAGACCCTCTCCCTATTGCTGAACTGCCCTACCTGTGCTACTCCCTTTGCTAGGAAGGATTGCCCCGCTTCCCAGCCCTGTACTCACCCATGGCGTCCACACAGGAATACCCTCTGGAGCACAAAGCTGTGAATCAGCAGGTCTCACAGAGGCATTTGTAGTGCCCTCTGCAGTGGGCGGGGTGAGTGGGTCCTACCTCCCTTCCCAGCTTACTTTCTCCTGGAGGAGGAAATCTGGCTGGTTTTCCTTTGTGCCCTTAGAAAACACAAGCCAAGTTGAAGGTGCCTGTGGTTCTAGGTGCATAGCTTCCTGAGCTGCAAAGAAAATAACCGCCCTGACAGCAAGAGTCCTTGGAAGAGTCTTTTCTGTGAGTGCTTAGTTCCTTGGATGAAATTGCTCCTGGGAACAGCATATTTGAGAGCTTTGAAGAGTGCAGTTCAGTAAATAAACACTTGAATGCTAGTCACCAACCAGTGTGGAGAGCAAACACTGGTGATGTCCCCGCCTCCCATCATTACAGCAGGGTGCTGCCAGGTGAATTGGTTCTTGTTTAATGTGCTTTTGACAAGTCAATCCTAGCTCTTGGTGGGTAAGTCAGAGCAGCCCCCAGACTCTCAGAGTGACCGACCGTTTTAGGACAATATTTGGAGCAGCTGGTGTTGTCTGGACTGCATGACAGCAGGTAGAGGGTTGTGGTGGAGGTGATCTCCATATGGGGAAGCAGGAGAGGTGTCTATTCCCCACTGGGACACAGTCCTGGTCTGCAAGGATGCAGCTGAGTGGGTCTGCTGAAAGACACTGGCTAAAAGGTTTCTGTAGGACAGCTGAGAGAGCTGTGGTCTCTGGAGCACTGTGTTTGGGAGATTGGTCATGCATGATGAATGGCTATGGAGGAAAGCAGGTGTCTGCACAGGAATGAAGTGAAACTGGGCAGATGGAGGGTAGCAACAGGGATCTGAGCATGTACAGAGAGGAATGGAGGGGTCTGAACATGCACAGAGGGGAAGGCAGAAATCTTGACCCTGTGTGCATAGAGAGGGAATGGAGGGGTATCTGGGTGTGGGTGTATCTGAGTGTGCATGGAAGGAAAATGGGGGGAAATTGAGGGTGAACAGAAGGACTGGAAGGGATCTGATGGTGGAACCCATAGGAATTGAGCACCAACAGAAGGGACAGGTGGGATCTGAGTGTTGATGGAGAGCAACAGTGGGAATCTGAGGGCACTTGTCATGGAAAAGAGGGATATGAGCGTGCATAGAGGGGAGAAGTCAGCACTAGGCAGACACTGAAAGGAACAGAGGAGATCTGAGTATTTGAGGAGGGGAACAGAGGAGATCTGGGTGCATACAGAGGGAAATGGAGGACATTTGAGCATATAAGGAGGGGAATGGAGGGGATCTGTTTGTGCAAGGACAACAGAGGGGTTATGAGAGAGCACAAGGATATGAAAGCAGCTGGATAGGAATGGAGAACATCTGAGAGAGCTTGGAAGTAAACAAAATGAGTCCAAGGGGATCTAGAAGCACCTAGAAGGGAATGAATGGAATTTGAAAGCATGTAGAGAGGGCATGGTTTTGATGTAAGGCACTCAGAAAGGATGGCAGGGACTGGGAGATGGGCAAAGGGGAGTGGGGGAGATCTGAGCATGCTTGGATAGGAATGCAGGGTTCCAAGGCACAAGTAGGGGAACAGAGAGGCTTTACAAGAACTCAGAAGGGAATGGGACGTAACTGAGCATCATCAGAGGGGAACAGAGGGTGCCTGAGCACACATAGAGAAGAATGGAAGGGACCACATTGTCATCTGGGGGAATAGAGAGTGCATGGAGGGGAACGGAGGCGATCTGAATGCACACAGAATTGAATTAACAGTTTTGATGTACCTTCTGATGCTCCCTAGGGTCTTTTATTTGCCCTCTGGTGCAATGCAGAAGCTTCTATTTGGTCCTCTCATCCCCTAAGAATCACTCCATTTACCCTTTGGTGCACCCAAAAGAAGGTCACCTTCAGAGACCTCCCATTTCCCTCCTGTACACTTTAGACTCCTCCTTTTGCCTTCTGGTGCCTCCCAGAGCCCCCCATTTTCATTGCAGTGCATCCCAGTGTCCTACATTTTCTTATACATTTGCTGGAGCCCTCCATATGCCTTCTCTCCAAGCCCTCCACTGTCTTCTCATGCACGCTGTTTCCCTTTGCAAATCCTGTCACCCCAGAGGCCCCAGCAGAGTCCTGGGCAGCAGGGACCTCTTTGTGCAGGATGCGCAGTAGAAAGTCAGGATAAGACTCCAGTCTGGAGATAGTAACAGTCCATTGCTTGCTGAGGCCACAGACACAGCATGTCTGCAGGGATAGAGAAGGTCTGAGATCAAGCCTGGAGGCCAAGTCAGCAGGTCCCATCAGGGGCAGAATCGGAGGAATGAGACTAGGTGCAGACATAGTTGCTGCACAGCTGCCATGTAGCCAGTGGTAAAGGTGTGGCTTAAAAGCTCTCCAGGGGAAGGAGGTGCAGGCTCTCAATTCTAGCTTTTTTCACAATAGCCCTTTTCAGTGAAGGAGCTGACCTTGGATGTAGCTAGCTAAACTCCTTAACTCAGCAAACAATACTCTGAGAAGGGGAAAAGGACTCAAGCGCACTGACATGGGAATCTTTGGATCAACCCATGCAGAGTTCTGTGGTAGGGGGAGCAACCCTGAGAAGCTCCTGGGGCCAGCTCCTGCCTCAGGATCTGGGTCTTCTCTTGCCACAGGAAAGAAGAAGGATTCCAAGTGCCAATTAAAGACAGGTTTGTGCTTCCATAACTAGGGCCAAAGCATAGAGCCTCAGGGTTCCCAAGTGCCACAGTTACTCTAAAAGTCTCTTGGGTTGCAGCCCCGCCATGTGTTCTTCTTCCATCTGTAAGTAATAGTGACAAAGTTCGGGGAGGGCTGGATAACAGTCTGAGTGCTCTGGGCAAATCCAGAGGCCACAAACCTATGGGAGGCCCTTGATTCAACTAGAGGATTGTTTAGGAGGGTGTGCCCATCCAGGAAGGGTTGCCCACCCAGGAAGGATGAGGTTAATGCAATGTGAGCCCTTAATAAGTGTGGTCTGACCAGGCCCTCTGCTGCCAATGAGGTAAAATGTTTTCTGGCACTGGGGAAACAAGGGATTTGCTGAGGCAGGTGGCAATGTGATGGCTTCTCTTCCCATCTGATTGGGATGTGATGGCAAGATGTGAAAGGACCTCTCAAGATCACCTGGTCCAACTCACTCCTCAAGAATGCTCAGCTACAGCAGGCCACCCAGGAAAGTGTTCATCTGGGTCTTGAATATCCCCAAGGATGGAGACTCCCTCCCTGGGCAACCTGTGTCAGCGTGTGGTCACCCTCACAGTCAAAAAGTGTTTTCTTGTGTTCAGATAGAACTGCCTGTATGTCAATTTGTGCCCACTGCCTCTTGTCCTGGCACTGGTCACCACTGGAAAGAACCTGGCTCCCACTTCTTCATTCCACCCCTTCAGGTATTTATATACTTTGATAAGATCCCTCTCTAAGCCTTCTGTTCTCCAGGCTGAACAGTCCCAACTCCTTCAGCCTTTCCTCAAAGGATAGATGCTCCAGTTCCTTTATCATCTTCATGGCCCTTTGATGGATGTTTAGCATGTCCAATTCTCTCTCACACTGCAGAACCCAGAACTGGACTCCAGCTGTGCCCTCACCAATGCTGAATAAAAGGAAAGTATCACCTCCCTCGACCTGTTGGCAACATTCCTCCTAACGCAGCCCAGGATGCTGTTGGCATTCTTTACTGTGACCATACGTTGCTGGCTGATGGCCAGTTTCTTGCCTCCCCATAATTTTTTGCAGACCTACTTTGCAGCTGGGCGCCCCCAGGATTGACTCCTGGAGTACACCACTGGCAACTGGTGTCCAGTTGGACTCTGTGTCACTGATCAGCACTCTCTGGGCCTGTCTATTCAGCTGGTTTTCAGTCCACTTCCCTGTTCACTTATATAACCCATATTTTTGCCAGTTTGTCTGTTAGTATGATTTGGGAGACTGTCAAAATCTTACTAAAATAGAGGTAAACAGTGTCCACTGCTCCATTCTTATCCATCAGGCTAGTCCCTCATTATAGAAGGCTAGCCTAGCAAGTTACTTAAATATGACTTCCCCTTTGTAAATCCATGCTAACTACTCTAGATCACCTTCTTGTCTTTCACAAGTCTGAAAATGGTTTCAAGGACTAGCTGCTTCATCACCTTCCCAGGTGTCATGGTTTAGGCTCAGAGGGCAACTGAGCACCACGCAGCTGCTCACTCACGCGCTCACCCCTTCCCCCATCAGAGATGGGGAGTGGGAGAATATGGAACAAGAATGGCTCAAAGTATCCATCTAAAGACTGGGAAGAGTAGCTCACCCATTATGGTTACAGGCAAAAGGCAGACTCATTAGGGGAAGAAAAAGAAAACATCACTTTAATTCAAATACTAACAAAGACAACACTTAATAGACAAGGTGGAGACAGTGAGAAGTGCCAATCACATCCAAAACCACCTCCCCCCACCCCTCCCTTCTTCCCGGGCTCAGCTCTGCTCCCCATCTCTCCCCCTCCTCCCCCAGTGGCGCAGGGGGCAGGGGATGGGGGTTACCGCCAGCTCACTGCTCCTTCCTTCTCGGGAGGTGGGGGGGAACGCCGCACATCCCTCCCCTGCTCCACGGGGCTCCCCTCTCACTGCAGACAGTCCTCCACAAACCTTCCCCAGTGTGAATCCTCCCTACGAGCCGCAGCCGTTCCCAAGCTGCTCTGGCATGGGTCCCCCTGGCGTGTTGCAGTCCTCCCAGCGCTGAACCACAACAGCAGAGGCTGCTTCTCCCCTCAGGGTCCCGGCTTATTTTAAAACAGGTGCCTGTCCTGAAGTGGCTTTCTCCTGAGGCTTCAGGTTGGACTTTACTCCACCGCAGACCTCCATGGGACGCAGGGTGGGCGGCCCTGCTGTCTCACCAAATGATCCAGGGGTCTCTGTTCTGACATACCTCTCCCACGTCTTTCTCCTTCCTTCCGCTGATCTCGGTGTCCGTCCTTCTTGCAACTCCCCCTCACAAGTCCCAACCCCGTCTCAGGTTTCCCTTCTTAAATACATTATGGCAGAGGCGCAGCTGATGGGCTCGGCCTTGGCCAGAGGCTGGTCCAACTTGGAGCCGGGAGAGCTTCAAGAAGCTTCTCACAGGGGGCACTGCTGTAGCCCCCTCCCCTGCTACCAAAAAAGCTGCACCACAGAAACCCAGCACACTAGGGATCAAGGTGAGGCTGACCAGACTGTGGTTCCCTGGGGCCTCTTTCTTGCTCTTGAAGATAGGAGTGAGGTTTTCTCTTCTCCAGTCTTCAGGTACTTCTCCCAGTTCCAGGATCAATCAGAAATTATTGAGTGGCCTTAAAATGTCATTGTCCAGCTCTCTCAGCGCTTGTTGAAGCATTCCACCAAGGCCCATGAACTCATATATGTTCAGTTTGCTTAAATATTCCCTAACTGGATCCTCTTCCACCAAAAGTACATCTTACTTGCCTCAGACTTTCCCCCTGATCTCCTGGGCCTGGGATTCCTGACAACTGGTCTTCTCAGTAAAGATAGAAGTGAAGAACTCATAGAGTACCTTGGGCTTTTCCATGTCCTGTGTCACCAGGGCCCCTGAATGAGGATTCAGCAGCAGACCCACATTTTCCCTAGTATTCCTTTTGTTTATGTACTTGTAGGAAACTCTCTTGCTCCTCTTCACATCCCTTGCCAGATTCAACTCCAGGCCAGCCTTGGCTTTCCTAACCCCATCCCTGAATGATTGGGCATCTCTATTCCATCAGCCATCATACCCTGCTTCCAACTCTTCAACACTTCTTTTATATGTTTGAGTTTACTAAGGAACTTCTTGCTCATTCACAGACACCTTTGGCTACTTTTGCTTGATTTCTTGCTTGTTTGCAGGAAATACGTAAGAAAAACATATATAACAAAAGATGTGTTCCCTGTCTCCATCTACTTTTTTGCTTTTGGGGTGAGGACTGGTATCCCCCACTTCCATGGGTTCCTGTGCTTGGGATGGCAAGGTGGGTGGTGTAGAGCATGGCACATCACTTCTGAGGATGCTGGTACCCTCTCTGATGCACTGCCAGCCAAAGTGATAGCCGGGCCTGAGAGCTGCCTCAATTTCTGGGGAGGGTCCACTCTGGCCGTCTCATCATGAGACCCTCAGTCAGCCCCAACCTGCAGTGGGCCATAAGGGATCATTCCCCTGGGTCAGTCTCTTTGCAGTGTCTCAGGAACTGGATTTTTGTGCTCAACAGCTGATGGCTTCTGGGCTAGAGCTTCAGCAAGGCAGCTTGAGCTGCTGCTGTACATCTGAGCACACCCCACCCCCCTGCAACGGCTCCAGAGCATGCAGTAAGGAGTCAGGGTCGTGGAGCACAGCATCACTGCACTCCGTGTAGCAAATGACCATGTAGCAAGCCCTCCACTGTGGGGCTGCAGCAAACCAGCTCCCTTTCAGTCCTCGGCCTTTCCATGTTATGCTGAGCCCCTCCAGTGCTCGCTGCGGCCTGGGACAGAGACAAGAGAAGAGCCCAAGAGGTCCAAGAGGACGGGAGAGCCCATGCCCAGTGGTTGCATCTTTGTGTCACCCTCCTTTGCCAGTTGTGTATGCTTCTGTCATCAGCATTCAGGATGGGAAGAGCTTCGTTGCCTTCCCTTTGCTTCACATAGCCATCCACTTGAGGGAAACCTGTGACTGAAAGGAGTGTGATTCCTACCCCTCCATGCCCACATGTCAGCAGCAGATGAAATAGGCAGGGATCACAAAAACACAGTGTGTTCCTAATGGGAAATATTACTTGGATGAGATATGTGAGCTGCAGCTTCCAGGATGAGCACACGGTGGCTCTGCTGCCTTACCAGACAACTGTAAAACAGAACCCAACTTGCTCTGGTCAGGATTGGCCTCTGTGGGATGGGGGAGCACAGGCTGGATCTTCAACTCAGAAATTACAGCTCAGGCTCCTCAACCATAACCAGCACTGACAGTACCGCAGATTTAAGTACAGCTGGAATGTCAACCCAGGTGACAGAAGTGTTTTACCAATTGCTTGGGACCGAATGCACCACCAGCATTCCTCTACTGTTTGGCCATTTTGTTAAAGGCATAATGTCTAAAAAATCTGTAGCAGCAGTTTATGCAGATTACCAAATTGAAGTCAGCTAGGTTCTACAGTGGTATAAAAGTAAATATGTGATAGACTGCTTTTAGGCAAACAATCAGAGGGGAAAGTAACTTGGCATTTGTAGTGGCCATGACATAATAAAGGTATTATTATACATAAGTATCTTTGATACATAAGTATCAACAGAAAACTTTCCTACAGATAACAGTCTGACCTTCCCTTAGTGCTAGCTGTTGAAATGCAGGGTCAGCAGTGTCAGAACTGTGTTTTGGACTGCTTATGTGCTGCCCAGTATCAAGTTTTTCTGTATGCAAGCTCATAGCTTTCTGTATGCAAGTCCAAGACCCCCAGATGTCCATTTTCACCATAATCCATTTTTTTTAGAACTCTATAGTTCTCTTTTTAGACTGTTCACATTTACACATGCTACCCCCAATGCAAGAAAAACAATTGGAGAAATTTTGGTCCTCGGGGACAGATCCATGTGTCAAACTCCCCTAGGGTGAATCCTGGCGTCTGGAATCCGCTGGAGCTCCCTGTTGTCCAGGTCTGTGGGATGTCCGGGTGTCACTGAGATCTAGGAGGCTCCAGCATTGCCAGGTGGCTCTGGGAGACAGAAGGAATAGAGAAGAGGAGGGGGAGGACACCCTATATCCACATCTGAGGTGGGGAGGATCCTGGGGGACCTGGGGACCCAAGGGACAACTGAGGGGTCCTGGGAGCAGCTGATGGGTCTAAGGGTGAAAGTATGGGACCCTGGGGGCAACTGGGTCAACTGACTGGGGCCCCCAAGGGCACAGTGGGGGCTCTAAGGAAAATGGGTGAAAGTAGCTAGGTTTCAGGGGCAATTAGGGAATCTGGGGGAAGAAAGACAGCCTGCAGTTGTCCTGGGTGCAAGGGAGGGGTCCTGGAATGGGCCAGAGGACAGTGGGAGTCCCACGGGGAAATAAAGGGCCTTGTAAGTTTAGGAGTCCTGGCAGTCTATGGCCCCCCTTGGACACCCCGGTCCCCTTGAATTTGTAGGGAGTCCCAAGGGACTGATGGTCCAGGGGGTTTGGGAGTCCCATGCTGGTCTGCAGGGAGCCCCAGATGCATGGGGATTTTCAAGATAAGGTTTACCAGGTCAGGAGGACTCACACCAGCAGCAGCACGAATGCCATGAATCCAAGTGCCAGCCCCAGTCCCAGCGATGCCATGTGGTGCAGTGGAGTCCTGCTTTTGGGCCAGCTCAGCACAGCTCTGAACCGAGCCTGGAGTCCCTTCTCTGCCTCTACGGTTCCTCCTGATACTGTGAGGACCCAGGCACCTTGGGTCATGGGGCACTGCCCCCCAGGGACCAGGGATTGCTGCAGCACCTGCTCCAGCCACAGACCTTACTGCTCCCAGGGACCCAGGCATTTGGGATCCTTGCTCCACCCTACATGCCTCACTGCCCCCAGGGGAGCCAAGCATCAGAGACCACCTCCTCCACTCCACCTGTACACCATGGATCTAAGTGTCCTGGCACTCTGCTCACACCCCCATGCACCGCCCCTCCCACCCCCCCCATAGACCCAGGTGTCTGGGGTACCGCTCCACCCCACACTGCTCACTGCCCCAAGGGCACTCAGGTGTCTGGGCTCACCATTCAGGTAGAAGTACTTGCGGATCAAGGGCTCAGAAAGGACCCCCAGGCAACAGGCAATGGTTCCTGAAATGGGGTCATGGAGGGTCAGACTGAGAGGTCCCTCCACGCTCTCCTTCAGCTCGTCAAACACCGCCAGATCTTGTGTGCGCAGCTAGAGCATGGGGGAACACATCAGTGCAGCCTGGCTCAACCAGCTACACGAAACAGCATACATGTTCATGCAAAGGCACTCATGTCCTGCACACGTTCATCATGTCCTCTTCATTCTTTCTGTGCCCTTTACGCGTGCATGTACATGCACCTCATGTCACACGTGCTCTTTGCGCCCTGTGTGTGTGCACACAGGGCTGCACAAGCAAAGCATATGCAAAATTCACTTCCTTCACACACCTATGCACATGAATCTGCAAACACACGAGTGACCTGCCTCCTGCTTGAGTGCACCCTTCACATGGGCAAGCACTCGCTTGCATCCTGTGCATGCTTACACACATACTACTTAGAGCACACATATCTACTGTATAAGCAATACCCGGTAGTCCTCATGCCAAGTGCACAACTGCGTGCATGCAGGCCTTGTTACCCATGCCCAGTCCTCTCATGAATGTCTACATACACCCTTGCACATGCATGTGCAACTCACATCCTTGGCAAACATCCAGGTAACAGGCAAGTCAGAGGGGGTGGCAAAGGGCACATCGCAGTGCAGTGTGATGGCTTCATCTGCACGGGTCCACATGTCCTGCACTGGGAGCATTGACAGGCATGTGAGTTCACATCTGCTCATGCACTTACAGAAATGATTGCGCTCCTGTGTGACTGCAGGTGCTCCTTTTCTCACAGTGGGGATGGGTAGGCACACACCTTGGCACACTCTTGTGCACTCATGGTGTACCCAGTAGGCATACCCACATGTGTGAAATGAGGGTTGCCCCCAGAGCCCTGGAGGCACCCAGATCCGGGTGGGGCTACCATGGCCCTATACCTGGGCAGTCCAGGGGAAACTGGCAGTCTACAAACTGGCAGGTAGCACACTGGAACACACGGGCAGCTGGCTGGTACCCTGGGAAGGAGAGACTTAGTGGTCCCACAGAGATGGGAGAGGGGGTGGTTAGACAGAGGGATGGGCACTCACCACAGGGTGGGATGCAGGCTGGAGCTGGTGTGGAGGAGGCAGCATTAGACTGGGGATCATTTGGTATTCACATCCCCATGATGAGCTGTCAGGGCTCAGCCCTTGTCCAGCCCGGATGGGGTCCCTGGGGGTTTCTCCAGAATGGGGGTGCCCGGGGTGGGGGTCCCTGGGCTGTAGATGTCACAGGTGGAGGTCTCTGTGACAGTCCCTTGAGTGGGGGTCCCAGTGGTCAGGAGTTCCCCAGGGAGTCCTGGCTGGGTGTCCCCACTAGCTCCATACCTTCCTCCAGCTGGCTCAGCTTCATCCAGATTATGTTGACAGCTTCCTGCAGAGACACCTCAAAGGGCTCTGGGGTGTCCCACATGTCCAGGTGAGAAAATGTGCCCTGCCCCCAATCCCCATAAGCCCTCCCTGGATCCCACAGATCTCTTGTACTACTCACCTTGACCCCGTATATCTATCTTGGAGTCCCATATATCCCCAAATACACCCTCAAAATCCCCCAGAAGCTGTATACCTTGAAGCCCGTATACCCTCAGGATTTCCCAAATATCCCCTTACAGCCCCCAGACCTCCATATATCCCGTATTTCACCACACCTCCCATTCAAGGCCTCCATGGACAATGTCCCATCCCCCATCCCCCATGTCTTTGCCCTGCCCCCTCACATGTTCCATGTCCTGTGCTCACTCTTGTCCTTCTGCTTCTCCAGATAATTCAGGGCATCCATGATGATCTGCTGAAGTGCCTCACGCTGCCCTGACCCTGGGACCAGTACAGGGTCACTGGGACCAGTAAGGGCTGGGGTTTTCCAGGGGTTACTGAAGTCCTGAGCAGGGTTTAGGGATGCTGGGAAGGATTAGGTATCCTTGGGGATTCCTGAGGTCCTAGATAGTGCCAGGGGGTCCCAGGAGGTCCCCAGTGTGTCCCTGGTCAGGGTTGGGTGATTCCAAGAGTCCCAGGAAGGCTTGGGGTTCCCAGAGGTCCCTGGGGTCCAGGTCAGGAGTGGGGAGACTGTGGCATTGTTTAGAGTCCCTAGGGTGCTTGTCTGGGTGGGTCCCTGGCGTCCCTGTTTAGGAAAGGGTTCCCCAACTGCCTGCAGTCCTGGTCAGTGTGAGAGCCTTGGTTGAAGTGGGGAACCCCAGAGGGCTCTGGGGTCCTGCTCAGAGTGAGAAGCCCTTGGGATGCAGGTCCTTGGTGGGATGAAGATGCCAGTCAGGATGGGGCTTCTTGGACAGGGTTCCTGTTGGGTTGGGTGTCTCTAGGGTTCCTGTTGGGTTGGGTGTCTCTGGGGTCCCATGACGCACCCACAGTGACAGAGGCGAGTGGCACAGCAGCCTGGACAAGGGCCTCGAGGCAGTGTCGATGTTGGGGGTCATTGACGGGGGCCCCAGTAATGTCATGGCAGAGCCGGGATCGCTGAATGGGGGGCCCAAAGCAGAACAGGCAGGGATGTACCCCAGGGAGCCAGAGGGCCAGCACCAGCATCAGGGCAACCCACCACCCCATGGCCCCAAAGCATAGCATCTGGATGCCTGGGTTCCCAGGGAACAGCAGGGTTCCTAGGCGGAGCCTAGATACCTGGTTTCCCCAGGGGACAGTGGGGTTCCTAGGCAGGTACCAGATGCCTAGGTTCCCTCTTGAGAGGAGTGGGCATACCCAGACACATGGGTCCCCTAGGGTGTGTGGGCTGGAGAAGGGGCTCCCAGTCCATCATTTTGGTCTCCCCAGACCCTCTATCATCAGTCCCTGTCAGTCACATTACTTGGTGTTCCCAAATCCCCTTTATTTAGATGCCTAATTCCTTGTCTTCAACCCCTATAGTTCCAAAATCACCTTCCTTGAAACCTATGCAAAGCTTCACCTTTCCATTACTCCTTATCCTATCCCGTGAATACCTCCATACTCACCTGCTGAGGCAAGCTGCCCCAGAGGCGGCCAGATCTGCAGTGGAGTGGCAGATCTTGGTGCACAAGGTGGTTGCCTGCTGAAGGGAGATGCCAGGGCACAGGAGAGACCCACCAGGAGCTGGCAGTTCTTGTGAGGGATGCTGATGAGGCCTGGGCATTGCCAGAGCTACTGCGGCCACCCCCACACCGATACAAAGCAGCCCAGGGAGCTCCAGTGGCCGAGAGTGCTACCACCAGAGTGGGTTAAACAACATGGCATCAGCCAGGGCATGGCACAGCAGTTTGCATAGCTGTTTGTGCAGAAGGGCACGCAGGAAAGGCGTCATCACCCTGGCAGTTCACAGAGCCAATCTCATGACTGCGAGGTCATCACCGTTGCAGAAGAGGCTTATGTCTGGTATCCACCCAGCAGAAAGCCCTGGCCTCTGCACTCACCAGAAGGGATGTGGCAGCCCCAGCAGAGCTCCCAGGAAAACATGCAGCCAGGCAGGCCTGGGGCTGCATGGCCTACGAGAGCCTTTCCCTGGGAAGGGCTGGCAGGAGTGAGAAGATCTGGCTGAGCTGTGGCTGAGAGGGTGGTCTGCTCAGCTTGGGGGCAGAGCTGCGGGAGGAAGCAGAAAGGTCAAGGAGCATCAGGGAGTCTGAGAGAGAGATAGACTCATGGGACTATGCTCTGCTCCCCCTGCAACAGAAACAGTAACAGCCACCAGAAGAAACCCAAGATCCCAAGAGGATCCTGTATCCTCCCCCACCAGGCTGAAGGCAGTAGCTTAAAAGAAAGGAGTGAATGGAGGCACATCCATTCTTGAGGCAGCAGCTGAACCCTCTCCTTGGCCACCTCATCTTCCCAGGTGTCTCTGTACAACAGGCCTAACTTTAATATTTAACCATATGAGGTATTTAAATCACATATGGAAAGGATTCTGGTGCTTTTTGTGAATAGAAGAGGGCTAAGACTTCATTGTGTGTTCAGAGAAATCAATCCTATATTCTGCTTCATTTTGGACAGTTAATGGCTTCAAGTAAAAATTCTGAAGCCAAGGAATTTTGCTGAAAGCTTTACCTTGAACTAGCACAGCTACAAGTCCTGAAATGTCACAGATGCCAAAAAACACTCAAACCCCTTCTCCCTTTTTAATTTTATCTAAATATTTTATAATAATGAAAGATGTACCAAGAAAAAAACCTGGTACTTATCAATCTCCTGGTATTCTTGCAATGACTTGCTCTTTAACAGGAAGGTCTTCCTTGAGTATGCTGAGTATCATGAATTAGGAAGTCACATGCTTTAGTGATTGATTTCTGTTTGCTTTAAAGGAAGAGAAGTTGCTGCACTATGTCTGTGTATCTCAGCACTGGTTCTCATCTCAGAAACTGATCATGGAAAATCCTTAAATAATGATGCACTGGACCCCAAATCCTACCAGGAAAAAAGGGTATGTGCTTCTAGAACAGCCGAAGAGAAAATTACTTGCCTCCATGATATCCAGCATGAGCAGCTACTGAACAAGACACAAAAGCTGTTACCCATAATGTCTGAGCTGCATTTCAAGACAAAGCCCCAGACAAATCCCCACATCTAGCCAATAACTCAAACCTCTCTTCAATTCCAAGTCCCTGGCAGGCAGGCCTTATTCTCCTTCATGAACTAGTGGCATCAGTTGCCTTTGTTGTGAAGTAGTGAGCCCCATGAATGAGAAACACAGGACGCTTTGAAAATAGGCTGTGCCAGACCTCCAACACATGGCCCTGAATGGGATCCTGGAACGAGGACACTTGCGAGCAGTGGAGGAAACAATGCCGAGACAGACTCAATGTGAGTGATAAAGCATGGTTCACTTTATTGGTCCAGGGTACACATATTTATACAGACAATGATAATTATTATGCCTACTAGTCACTAGCTGATTGGCTTAAGCTCTAAAGGTCGTATTTGCACGGTCCGCCTACTTGCGGTTAGCTAACAGCACAAGCTTCTCATAACACTAAGTTTCTCATGCCACTATTTCTAATTCCTCTTAACCTGTTTTCGACAGACCACGGTACACAAGGCCGAAGCGTCCTTGACATTCCTCATGTATCAGCAGCTGCGAGCAGCTGCAGGCAAACCCTAGTGAGGCCCAGCATCAGCGAGGAAGCATCAGCCCTTAGAACAGGCTCTGATCGTACAACTGCTTGGTGGACTTATGACCCTTGTCTCTGAATCATTCTCCAACAGACACTAACTAGAGAGCTGCTTGCATGGGCTTTTCTTATCCTGTAGACACTATGAGCCAGAAGGAGCCCTTAAGATGCTCCAGAGCCGGTTCGGACCTGGCTGTTGATGCAGATGCTGGGGCCAGCAATAGCTATTTAGAAAGGTAGCTGGGTTTAGAAAGATGTGTTCAACATTTCCAACACCCTTGGATAGGTGGAACATGCCACATCCAGCAACATATTCATACTGCCTTGCTCCATAAACAACAGGTCCAGAATCAACTTTGCCATTTAAGCCCCTCTTTTCTGTGGTGCTCTTCCTCATCCCAGAGAGATCACAGATAACAGCGCGTTTGCTCAAGTTTAGCCCAGGACAGCCAGCAAGGTGAGTCAGGGAGAAGGCAGTATGGCACTGACACCCAAAAAACCTAAATGTGGTCTTTTTCAAATCTGGGAAGTCAGGAGCTAGGTTTGCACAGAAACAGTATACAGAAGATGGCCATGTCTCCACCAGCTATGGGGTTCAGTCAGCTCTTGTCCTGCCTCCTCCATAACACGATATAACCACACTGCCAAAATTACTGTTCTCACACATGTATTATTTTGCTCCAGTAATACTGCAAAGAGCTCTTGCTTCTACATGGACAGGTATCTACAAGTCCTACCTCCTAACCCTCCCTCTCCCAGCCTTTGCAGCACCTAGGCAAAGCTCACAGCTCCAAGTGCTATATACCCTGTGCTATGGGAAACAGTCTCCAACTTAGCCTGAGTTGCCTTCTGCCACTAAAGGAAATCAGAAGTACTATCACAGATTAAGGCAGGTGGACAAAAAACAAAACCGCACAAAGCTTTGTGGGCCCTGTGACTTTTTATATGAATCTCAAAGTGAAGAGTCAGAGATCATATGCTGGAACCTCAATTTCCCTGTCCCACTTTCAGAAACTGGGGGCCAGAAGTTGGATGGCCAGGTTTAATTAACTGAGCACACTTATGCCACAAAGATAGAGGTAGGAAGAAAAAAGGTTCATTCTCTTAATGAACAGAGCACCACATTGAAATTGGGACTCTTAGTAATTTCCAGAAAATCCAGAAAACCCTAAGGCAGCAAGTCAACCCCAAGAACCCCAAGAGGATGTGTGAATGTCATCAGATGCCAATAAAAAGCAAACAGCCCAAGGGATGGGTTGTCAGGAGCAGCAAGAGCAGAGGAAGCACTTGCAGGAAGATTACACCCAAGGCAGGGACTGTCTGCTGGACTCAAGAGTGGGTCAAAAGGGCTGAGCTGTAACCTGTTTAAACAGAGTTTGTAGAGGAAGAGAGTAAAGAGAGGGTGTATGAGTTGAAAACAGTCAAGTAGGCAGAGAGGGTCAATAAAGCAGGTATTTCGTCTGGTAGCATATAAATACTTAGCTCTCAAATACAACACCTCAATGCAAACTGCTCAGAGAGACTGTCAAAAAAAACAAGTGAAATTTCAGAGAGGATAAACCCAATAGCTTAGTCCTCAACTTCAGAATACTTGATAATTACACCAGAACTCTTGTTCTAAGACATCTTTTTTCCTCTTTGAATCTAAAAATGATCTCCAGCCAAAGTATTGTAAAGATACCATGGCAGTCAAGGCTTAATCCAGGTTTATGGCATAAGTTGTTTGCATGCAGACAGCAGATGGCTTCACTCCATATGAAAACATGTGCCAGTGGGCTTGTCATTGGACTTCTAATTTTTTTTTAATATATAGAAGCTACTTATTATCTAAAAAAGTTTTTATTAAATCTGAAATTTGAGTTTCAAGAAAGAAAATTAGAACCTGAATTAAGTTAGCTTGCTTTTTCTCGCTTGTTTTTTTTGGGGGAGGAGGTACAGGGGTGAAATAGTCAGCAGAACAGAAAGCAGTGTTTCCATTTTTGAAAGTGCCTTTTAGCAAGCAGTGTTCTCTAGCCCAGTATTTGACAATAAGGTCATCCTACAAAATTTTACTTTATTTTTCAGATTTCAATATATATTTGAGATATAATGTACTTATTGTCCACAAGTTTTCTCTCTTGCAAAGAGAGATTTTTGAACATATCAAGAGATATCAAAAGCATTCATAAAGCATCAAGGTTTTCTTTGCAGTGAAAACTTTAGTCTGAATGACAAAGTGAATATTCAGGAACTTGTAAAAAGTTTTATTCAAAGAAAAGATGTCACCACTGGCTAGAGAACAGCACCGTACCCTCTGTTCCTGTAAAAACCAAGCTATGAAAGTTGTCAAATGATGAAACACGTAACAGCTGAATCTTTATCACCATTTAATATTGGTTTAATTACTGCATGATCAACCACTTCACTGAAAGCTTCCTGCAAGTCTTCAGTAATCAACCAATGAATAATTGTGGTGTTATATACTACTGCCAGCAAGATCTAACATGTATGCAC